CTCCATGTGGTGGAATTCTTCCTCGATTTTGTCAATTTTTCTTCCAGATACATCGGAAAATTTGAAAAAACAGTGAAAACGAGCGAAAAAATTTTAAAAGTTTGAATTCGCGCGCTTTTACTCACCGGGCGGCCTAGAAAAAACCTCGTCCCTAAGGGCTTTCAGCGTATTTTTCGATGAAGGATTTTTTTTTGAATTTTTTCTTTGTTTTTAAGTCAATCTACATGCGTTTCTGCACATTTTGATGCAATAAAAAATTTCACCGTACACCAGCTTTAAAGTTAAGAATCCCCACTTGGAATTTTGAAAATTTGTGACTTTTGGCCCTTCTTGGTTATTTCCGGAAAATTCTATTTTTCTGAAAAATTCTCGAGCAAAGAATGTGACGTCGTACTAACTTATTACCTATTGTCCTTTTCTTCTTCCTTCTAAACCAGAAAAAAAAGAAAAATAGGAGAAGAAGAAGTAACTTTACTTTCCTTTTCCTTCCATTTTCTTCTTCTTCTTCTTCTACTCCTTTTTTCTTTTCTTATGCTCCGCCGATGCGGAGCAAAGTCCCATTTCTCTCATCTCTGTCTCTCGCCTAAAGAGACGCAGACAGTCAGAGAAAAGCAAGAGAGTGTGGATACCACAAGAGACGCAGACACTTTCTTCTTAGTTTTCCACCCCAAAAACCCCGGGACGGCCGTCCCGGGGCTTCTTTTTCGACCTCCCCCCATTTTTCTGTGACTAATTTGGATTATTCTTTAAAAAGTGAGAGAGTGTGAGAAAGTGAGAGACGCAGAGCAGCCTAGACCATTGATAATTGTTCCCGGGTTTTAAATTTTTGAAAGATTTTTCTTGAATTTCTGGACTTTTCAGGTTTTGGATTATTAATTTTTCAAATTCCTGAATTTCCCAATTTTCCAATTTTTTAATATTTAAATATTTCAGGGGAATTCCAAAAGCTGTAAATTTGAAATATTTGAAAAATTCAGATTTTCAGAATTTTCAAAAATTTCCAAAAAACATAAAAATCCGGACTCCAGAAAAAAAAAATTTGTCAAAAATTCGAAAAAGTGTTTCAAAACATTCCGATTCAAAAATTCCAAGAAATTCAGAATTTTGAAAAATGGATTCCGAAAAATTCCAAAAAAAAAGTTTTTAATTCAAAATTCAATTTTTCAATTTTTTTCAAATGTTTCGAAATTCTTGAGCTTCTATATTTCAGAATTTTTGCATTATTCATTTTTTTCAGAAATGGGTGATCTGGAAACCACGTCTTCGTCGGATGGCCATTCCACTGGAAAACTGCGTCACGGGTCCAATGATACCGAAGAAAGAGTCACTTTTTCGACAACTTTGGATGATGGTAAGTCTTTCAATTTTTTCTGAATTCAAAAATAACTAAAAAACTTGAATTTCTCGCGTCCAGAGCTTCAAAATGAGTATAAACATGAACATATTCTGAAAACTTTTAAATTGGGTATTGTAAAACTACAGTAACTCGCTCAATTTTGAGCCAAACTTGAAAATGTTAAAATTTTTGAATTTTTTACGTTCAGAGCTTCAAAATGAGTATAAACATGACTAGGTTTCGCCCATTTTGATTTTTCGACTTTAAAGGCGCATAGAGGGTCGGAAATTTCAAAAATCTCAAACCTAGTTTTGTTTATACTCATTTTTAAGCTAACAACTTGCTGATGTCAAAAAAACTATGTTTCAAAAGTTTCCCGTCAAATCTTGACCTGTAAACCCGTGAAAAAAGAAGCTAGCTGAAATTATAGACTCTAAATAATTAAATGTATTCTTTCTGGGAGAAAAAAAGGTGATAAAATTGTCATATGAGAAAAAAATGAAGTGCACAAAATTGTGGGAAAAATGAAAAACGGGGAAAATATAACTTTTGATGTCACTAGATAAAGAAATGACGTAACAACGGTTGGGACTTGGAAAAGTGGAATTTTTCAGCCTCAAAAAATGACTTAATTGTTTTAAAATATCGAAATGTGAAATCGTCACATCGACAGCTTCGAAATGAATATAAACATGACCATATTCAGAAAATTTTTAATTTTCGTCTTTTTGGGATCAAAATTTTAAACTTTAGTTTTTTAAACAACTCGGTCAATTTTGAGCCAAACCTGAAAACTTTTGAATTTTCCAGTTTCTCACGTTAAGAGCTTTAAAATGAGTATAAACACGACTAAGCTCCGCCCATTTTGAGTTTTCAGGTTAGAGACGCAGTGTGTCTGGTTTCTCTGCGCTCTCTTTACACTAAAACTACCGTATCTCAGCTGGTTTTGGTCCAAACTTGAAGATTGCAAATTTTGAGTTTGTCAAGTTTAGAGCTTCAAAATGAGTATAAACATGCCCATGTTTGCATAATTTTGAATTTTGACCTCCTATGCACCTTTAAATTTGAAAATACTGTATTTTTGGAATTTCAACAAACCGAGTCATGTTTATATTCGTTTTGAAGCTCTTTACAAGTCAAATTAAATGCTTTTGTTTTTACAAAATTTGAGCAAAAGCTGAAGAAGTTACGGTAGATTTTTTAAGGTCTAGAATGCAGAGAAACCAGAGACACTGCGTCGCTGACCCTATTTTCAAAACTGTAACTCAAAGTGGGCGGAGCCTAGACGTGTTTATACTTTTTTTGAAGCTCTTAACAAGCCGAGTTCAAATTTAAAAAAGAAAATGTAAAAAATCAAGTTCAGAAATTCGGAAATTCAGAAATTCGGAAATTCAGAAATTCAGAAACTCAGAAATTCAGAAACTCAGAAATTCAGAAATTCAGAAATTCAGAAATTCAGAAATTCAGAAATTCAGAAATTCAGAAATTCAGAAATTCAGAAATTCAGAAATTCAGAAATTCAGAAATTCAGAAATTCAGAAATTCAAAAGTTCAGAAACTCAGAAATTCAAAAAGTATACCATGAGAAATGTTTACCAATTATCAATTTTTCAAAATTCCAAAAAAATTTTAAAATCCAAAAAAATCAAAAAAGAACTACAAAAAACAATGTTTTACAATATCATCATCATCGACCGTAATTATTATGTTAAACCTTTTTTTCTGTCCCCTCCCATCGACCTGTTATAAAAACTAGTCAATCGGAAAGTTTTTCTCTTTTTTTTTGAAAAAACGAAATTTTTTTTTTTTGACAAAACGAAAATTTTCCCAAAAAATGTTTTTTTACGATTTTTAAAAATTCTTTAAAAATCGAAAAAGTTATGTATTTTTATACAGAAAATTGAAAAGTTCTGAAAATCAGATTTTGAAAAAAAATCTATAAGATGGAGAGATAAAACATTTGATGTCGGGAATAAATAAAATAGCTGAAAATATCTGAAAATGTGAAGGTTTTCAAAACTAGCATTTTTAAACTTATATTCAAGTTTTGAATATGAGAAAATTAGAAACATAACAATTTTTGAATTTGGACAAAAGCTGGCTGAGATACAGTAGTTTTACAGTAGAGAGAGCGCAGTGAAACCAGACACACTGCGTCTTTAATCTTAAATATCAAAATGGGGCGGAGCCTAGTCGTGTTTGTATTTCTTTCGAAGCTCTAAACGCGAGAAGTTTGAAAAACTACTAATTTATCGATATATCTTAAAATTGAGCGAGTTACTGTAGTTTTACATTTTGGAGCTGAAAATATCTGAAATTCAATTTTTTTTTCAAATTCAAAAATTTGAAAACTATTCATGTCTATACTCATTTTGAAGCTTTCTTTGTAAGAAATTCAAATTTGCTAATTATAAATTATGAAATCACAACTTTTAGGATGAAAAATTCCACTTTTCCAGAACCCAACCTCCATATTTACGTCATTTTTTCTCTAGTGACATCGAATATTATTATTTTCCCCGTTTTTCAAATTTTCTCACAATTTTGTGCACCCCATTTTTTTCTCATATGACAATTTTTTTCCTTTTTTTCACCCAGAAAGAATACATTTAATTATTTGGAGACAAAAATTTCAGTTAGCTCCGGTTTTATTCACAATTTTTCGGGTCAAATATGGACGAGAAAAATTTGAAACTAATTTTTTTGAAATCAGCAAGTTCTTAGCTTCAAAATGAGTATAAACATGGCTAGGTTTGAACCATTTTGAAATTTCCAACCCCTATGCGCCTTTTAAGACAATTTTCGAATTTAAAACAACATAGGCGTATGGGTACTCATTTTGAAGCTCTGAACATGCCAAATTTAAAAATATAAAAAATTTTGAAACTGGACCAAAACCAGCTGAGATACGGTACTTTTAGTTTTACAGAAGAGGGAGAGCGCAGTGAAACCAGACACACTGCGTCTCTAACCTCAAAACTCAACGTGGGCGGAGCTTTGTCATGTTTATACTTATTTTGAAGCTCTAAAACTGACAAATCTGAAAACCATCAAATTTTTGGATTCGGACAAAAATTTCCTGAGATACGGTAGTTTTAGATTCAAAAATATAAAAATATTTGAGTTTGCACCAAAAAGGTACGGTAGTTTTATTGTTCAAGGGTTCCCTGGCACCGCCCATTTTTGGGAGATTTTTCGGGGGGGATTTCTGGGAGGATTCATCTTAGATCGTCCAAAAAGAGGCCCTCCAGGCATATAAAAAGGACCCATTCCATTAAATTCGTTTCTTCAATTTCCTTTTTTTGCTCCTCCGCGCCGCTGTCCGCACTCACAATAGTCCTTTTTGTGTTTTTTTCTTTTCCGAATGCTCCGCTGTTAGGCTCCGCCCACTTCCCGTTTTTTCTGACTTTTTCCTATTCAGTGGGAGCTTATTATCTTATTTCTATTCATTTATAAAAGCTTTGAAAAATCTCTTTTGGGTATTTTAGACTTTGAGCTTATTTATGAGGGAATTTTAGAGTTTTTTTTCTAGAAATAACACCTAACATTTTGATCTGAATTTAATGAAATTTATTTTATCGAACTTGAAACTTTATTAGGTTCAAAATGAGCTCAAACATGACTAGATTTGGTTGACTTTGAAATTTTCGATTATTCAGAGGGGGTCTAGGGGGAAATTCGAAAAAATCGAAGTTCAGAAAACCTAGTCGTGTTTATACTCATTTTGAAGCTCTCACCAAGACAAATTCAAAAATTTAAGGACTTTTGAATTTAAGACAGTTTGAGCGGAGTCACGGTAGTTTTACGTTTCTGTCTTTACCTAAAATGTATTACAAGTACTGTAGTATTGTCATTTCTGGAGAAATCTGGCTGAAAGTGATTTTTTCGAACACTCTTTTAAAATTCTTCAAAATGAGTATGAACACGACTAGAATTCATGAAACTTGAAAATTTCAATTTTCGTGGTGGGACCAAAAAATTTTGCAAAATTTGCAAAAAAAATTTTCAAAACTAGTCGCGTTTATATTCATTTAAGAGCACTTTGTATAACAAACTCAAAATTTTGAAAATTTTCGAGTTCGGAACGTTGTGGGCCGAGTTATGGTAGTTTTACGTTTATCATACCATTTATGATAACGAAAAGTACTGTAACTTTCTCATTTTTGGAGAACACTTGATAAAAGTTTTTTTTCTTTAACTTGGTTCAAAAACTGCTTTGAAATGAGCCCTGAACACGACTAGAATCTATAAAATTTAAAAATTTTCAGTTTTCGTGGTGGGACCCAAAAAATTTCAAAATTTTCCAAAACTAGTCGTGTTTATACTCATTTTGAAGCTAAAATCCAGGAGAATCTTATGTTTTAAGTTGAAAACTATAAAGATTTTCAGGTTTTGAGAAATATCATTTTTAGAAAATTTTTTTTTTCAATTTCTCAACAAAAATTTCCAAATTTTTTTTTCAGAAGACGTCGTCTCGGAGTACAATTCAATGAATCCAAACCTGGTGGACGAGTGTGATCTGTGTGTTCTCGAGAATGGCCGCATTTTTTATATCCAGTGAGCACCTTTTTTTTTGGCAAAAAATGTTTTATTAAAAATGTGAGAAAATGTTTGCCCCGGAGCAAAGTTTTTGCTCTTTTTTTTCTGTGCAAAAAAATCAGAATTGAACAAAAAATCGAAAATTCTGGAAAAAAGAGAAGGGAAAACGTCGTCTTGTGCATTATTAACCGTATGTAAATGAGAATTGTACATCCTTACGTCAATCTGTGAATTCGTTTAATGACAACGCAATTTTTTTCAAAAAAAAAAAAACGGGACATTTTGTACTTTGTAGTGTGAAAAATTCATGTGAAATGCAAAAAACAAAAAAAAAACTTTGAAAATCGATGGATACTGAGGAAAGTTGGAGGTTTTTTTCTCTTTAGCTCTAGTGGCCTAGAAATCCAAATTTTCGAAATTTTACAAGTTTTATCAAATTTAACGTGAGAAGAGCTTCAAAATGAGCCTAATCATGACTAGATTTGACTAAATTTGAATTTCGGCAATTTTCAGTCGAAAACTGTAAAATCGATTTTTGGCTGGTTCATAAGAGTTTCAAAAATTTTGAAACTTAATCAAACTTAGCCATGTTTAGGCTCATTTTAAAGCTCCCATCGAGACAAATTTGGAAACAACAATCAAAATCGGAAAAAATCGGTTTTCTAGGCCACCAGGAGCCTAAACCTAGGCCAAATCCAGATCATTTGGGGATATTGGGTCCTAACCAAACCTAGCCATGATTATACTCATTTTGAAGCTCGGAACGTGGGAAATTCAAATTTCAACAAGAAAATTTATTAAAACGATCAGAAAAACAATTTTTCCTTGCCCAAGGGGAGGAAAGGGCATAAAAAGTGAAAAATGCGACATGTCGTGTGTCCCTCCGTCGTCTTCTTGTTAAAAAAGAAAATGTTTATAGTCACGGACATGCATACACACAGATGTGCCAATTTCTTTTCTTTTTTGTTCTGTCAACTAAAATTTTTTTTTGAGAAGAAAATTTGAAATTTCGAGCTTCTTTGTTTTCATTTTTTGGAGAGCATTTTGGATTTCGGTACTGTAGCTTGGAAAATCCGTCTAGGCTGAAATTTCTCAAAAGAATTCGAATTTCCCGGTTGAAATTAGTCTAGAAAATTGGTTTTCATGATAAATCGAATTCTTGGAAAAATCGAAAAAATTCGAAAACAATTTTTCTTTTTCAGTTAGAAAAAGGCTGAAAATGGTCTAAAAGTGTATGCTAGGTTGAAAAATTATGAACAATTCAAATTTCTAATCGAAAATTAGTCTAGGAAGTTATAAAATTGAATTTTTCAGAGCAAATTTTTTTTTTGGATATTTTCGGAATTTTTAAAAATTTTCGAAATTTCATAACATTGATTTTTTGCCTTCAGATTTTTTCATTTAACTCTTCTTCTCCTTCTTCTTTCTTCCCATTTTTCCTAATCCCCCCACTCGCCAGTTGCCCTCCGGACATTTACAAATTCCTTTTGGCTCCAAAAAAACTTTTTTTTAAAAACTTATTTTTCATTTCCCCCCAATTTTTTTATGATTCCCTTAACAATGCAAATTAAGCATTCCATGACAAAATTTCTCTTCGAAATTTTTTCAAAAAAAAAATGTCTTGAATTTCACTTCGTCTCCATTTCATGTTGTCAATCATTGGTCATTCTAGGCCACCCAAAATTTAGAATGGCCTGGAAATCCAAATTTCTGGTTTTTCTCACATTTTATCAAATTTGTCATGTTAAAAGCTTCAACACGCCTAGGTTTGGTAACATTTGAAAAATTTGGAAATTTTTGTGGTCCGGTGGAAAATTTGTAAATTTTCTAAAATTTTCAAAAATAGCCATGTTTATACTCATTTTGAAGCTCTCAACAAGACAAATTTGAATATGCAAATATTTTCGAAATCAGACAAAAAATACCGTAGTTATGATCATTTTTCTGTTTGAAGCTAGAGTGCAGAGAAGCGAGACACTCTAACCTCAAAACTCAAATTTGAAGGATTCTAGTCGTGTTTTTGGCTTATTTTGAAGTTCTTAACTTAAAAAATCTAAAAATCCTAAAATTGTTGAGTTTGCACCAAAATGAGCTGAGATACGGTACAATTTGACCCTGAAAATCACCAAAAATCAAAATTTCTCAAACCTAGTCGTGTTTGTACTCATTTTGAAGCTGTGAAACTAACACATTCAAAAATCTAAAAATGTTTCAGTTTGAAGAAAAATTAGCCGTGATACGGTACTTTTCATTATGATGTCATTTTTCCTCCCAATTGGGGGAGAGTCACTTGGCATAAATTAAAAAGTGAAGGTCTCGAATTTTATTTTTGTGAAAACGTCAGAGGTCCTCTAGGGACTACGAATTCTGATTTCCGATGACCAGACTTCTAGGTATAGTGCAAGTGTGCTCTATTTTGAAAAACAAATCTATTTTGAAAAACAAAAAAAATGGAAATTTTTGAAAAAAATTTTTTTTTCAAAAAACTAAAAAATGGGTTTTTCAGCTTTTTTGAATAGCTCTTTAGATTCCAGCCACCCCAATTATTTCCTATATTTCCAAATTTTCTGTCTGCGTCTCTTTTGAAAAAAAAATTTCAGCAAAATTATTTTTTTTTTCAATTGTGAGGTTTTGTGTACACACACACACTATAGACTCTAAAAACACATCGTTATCTTATTTTTCTCTATTTTTGACTGGTATTTTTGAATATAAATATATAGCTACTTGGCCATAAAAAAATAATTTTGGCTCTAAAAATTTTTTTTTTTAATTCCAACACTTCAATTTTTGCCTTTTTTCTAGACAGCTTTATTCTAGGGTATTTTTGAACTAGAAATTCGGATTTTATGTTAAATTTCACTCTAGAATCCAAATTTCGGTGGTAAACTTTGTCCATTTTCTAAAAATTTATAAAGAAAATTCCGAAAAATACTTTTATTGTTTTGAAAATTTTTGAAATATCTTTTTCCAACATTTTTCATGAAAACCCAATTTTTAGGCTAGTTTTTGATGCAAAATTTGAATTTTTAAACGGTTTTCCAGGAGTTTTTGAACCAATGTTTTATTTTTTCCAAAAGAAAATTTTTTCGAATTTTTTGGAATTTTTTTGTTTAGGTTCACCCCCCCCCCCCCAAGTACCGGTCAAAAACATACATAGCAGACATTGCTCGCGTTCTTCTACTCACAAAAGTTATTTTGGAGGTCAAAAAATGTTTGCCGTTGTCCTTGGGATTTTTATTATTTGCGGAAAATGTTTTTTTTTTCGATTTTTTGGAAATTTCGAAATTCCAAACTACCGTATGTCACTTCATTTTACCCAAAAAAGATGACAGTTAGATCAAAATGCTAAAAATTTAATGAACTTCGAAATGAATATAATCATGTCCATAATTGAAAAAATTCAGATTTTGGTCGATTTTTGGGCCAAACTACCGCATCTTGACTCATTTCGGTTCTAACTCAGAAATTTGAAAATTTTCAAAATCGTGACATTTTGAGCTTCAAAATGAGTCTGAACACGACTAGGCTTTGGGGCTAGAGCGCCAGAGAAGCGAGATACACTGCGTCTCTGACCTCAATGCTCAAAGTGGGCGGAGCGTAGTCGTGTTTAGGCTCATTTTGAAACTCTTTTCAACTCAAATTCAAAAATTTAGTTCATGTTAAAATTTGCTACAAATTCAATAGGGTAAATCCCCAATAAACTGTTGTTCCCACACCCCCCTCTTCACACACACACACACACACACACACACACAACGTTTTTCTTCCCTTTTCTCAAAACTCCACAAATTTTTAGTGCCTCCCAAAATCTCTTTGGACCAAAAATTTCCCAAAAAGCTTCCCGAAATGTCAACCCATCGTTCGTGCCAGAATATTCTGGCAAATTCCCTTAGGACCACTTTTGAGTTTGCCCAAAAAAATCTCACAAGTCTTTTCCTTTTTATTTTTCCTATTTCTTGTACTATTCTTTTTTAGTTGTCTTGACCTATTTATCATAAAGGACCGTTTAACTTTTTCGAACTATCTTTAAATCATACATTGTTTTGAAATTCAAATTTCCCGCGTTTCTAGCTTCAAAATGAGTATAAATATAGCTAGAATCGGTCGAATTTGTAAATCGGTCGCATTTAGGTCAAACTACCGTATCTCGGCTCACTTTCGTTCAAACTCAAAAATCTTTTGATTTTCGAATTTTTCAGTTTTTGGACTTCAAAATGAGTATAAACTCGACTAGACTCCACCCACTTTGAGTTTTCGGTTAGAGACGCAGTGTGTCTGGTTTGACCATAACTACCGTAGTTTTTGTCTGATTCTCGAAACTTCAAGATATATGAATTTATCTTGTTGAGAGCTTCAAAATGAACCTAAACATGACTAGATTTCGCATATTTTGAATTTTAGTCATTTTTATGATCAAATGGTAAATCTACCGTTTCTCGGCTCATTTTTGTCCAAACTCAAAAATCTTCTAATTTTCAGATTTTTCAGTTTCTAAGCTTCAAAATAAACCTAAAAACGACTGAAATCCTTCAATTTTGAGTTTTGGAGGTTAGAGACGCAGTGTGTCTCGTTTCTCTGCACTCTAGCCATCTTCAAATAGAAAAACCACCATAACCACCGTAGTTTCAGTTGATTTTCAAAAAATTTGATATATTTGAATTTGTCGTGTTACAAGCTTCAAAATTTGCCTAAACACGACTAGTTTAGCTCAATTTTGAATTTGGACCAATGCGTTGCGGTTGCGTCGCGGTCGGTAGGTCAAAATTCAAAATAGAGCTGAAATAGTTGTGTTTCTCATTTTGAAGCTCTAGTCAAGCCCAATTTGATTAAACCTAGGAAAATCTAGAAATTTGGGTTTCTAGGCCACCATGGACCGATTTTTGGCTCCCAATCAAGTATAGGCTTGTTTATACTCATTTTGAAGCTCGGAACGTGGGGAATTCGAATTAAAATATTAGAATCAATAGTGACCTTGAATTACTTAAAAGATCAAGATTTTTGCTCGACAAGCCCCCCAAGGGGGGGGGGGAGCTTGGGTTGGGGTGTTAGTATCCGTGATCTAATTTCATTGACTTCCTAGAATATCAAATTTCAGATGGGAGCTGCCTCTTTCGAAGACAAAGAGAGAGCTCACACACCAGACAAATTTCTTAGAACACACAAAATAATTTCTTCTGTGTCTTCCATTGTTTTTCTGTTCTTCTTTTTCTTGTTAACTGACTGTGTGAAATTCTATTTTCCTATTGGCAGTATTCCCCAATTTACGCTTGTCTCTGACGACACAACTAGTAGTGTATCTAGAAAGTTTTATTATTTTTTCACGTATGGTGTTTTGGAGCCCAAAAAAAAAAGCCCAAAAAAATTGAGGCCCAATTTTTGGAGCTGCTCTAAACTTTTTTCGTCTGTTAGGGCCCGAAAATGATTTTTAGGAGTGAATTTGATAAGAAATTTAGATTTTTCAGTGTTTTTTTTACCTAGAAAAATAGTTTTTAAAGGTGGGGGGACAGGAGATTTTTCGTAGTTTTTCTGTAGCTAGAGTATGCATTCTACCGTCACGGTGTACAACGCTTAATGTCACTCTGCGTACAGCTGTCGTCCTCGCCTTTATGTATGCAATCGGGCGTGCGCTTTCTCTTTGCCCGCGTGGCTCAGTCGGTAGCGGCGCCGCACTCTCAATCATCGCCCTCACAAGTTCAACTCCTCGAGGGGCATCTTTGAACGGAATTTCGAGAACATTATTTTTTTTTCATGTCCCCCCACCTTTAAATTGTTTCATGATTTTTAGGGAAAAAAAAAATCTAGGATTTCGAATTTTGAATTTTCACATTTTGGTGCCGAAATTCACTTCTAGGGTCAATTTTGATAGGAAATTCGAACTTCTCAACGTTTTTTAACTCGGAAATCTTTTTTCTGCGGTTTTTCATGATTTTTGAAAAATTCGAAAAAAAATCTTTTTTGGAATTTTTTGGAAAAAAATAGCGAAAATGTGTTTTTGTTAGTGGGAAAATCACTCCTGAGCTTAATTTAAAGTCAATTTTTGAATTTCCCGGTGTTGTTTTCACTCGGAAAAGTGGTTTTTGTAACTTTTCATGATTTTTGAAAAATTACAGAAAAGGGAAATTTTGGAATTTTTTCGAAAATTCGTGATTTGTTTCGATTTTACTGTATAAATCAACTTTTATAGTTATTTTCGATTGAAAATTGAGAATTTTCGATGTTTTTCACCCCTAGAAACATCTTTCTGCACTACTTCCTAGATTTTAGTGTTCGCGTACTTTTCCAACCTACAGTAATCCGAAAAATCTGGAAAAATGGATTTATTGACAAAAAATCAAATTTCTAGACCAGATTTTTGTGTAAAACGCGAATTTTTAATCCATACTATTCTCAGACTTATGGTTTACCTTCTTTTTTTCATTTTCCGATTTTTTAATTTTTCTCTCTACCGTAATCCTTTGAATCTCAAAAAAAAAAGATTTACATCACAGCAAATGGGTCCTGAATAAATCAAAAAAAATCGAAAATGCAAAAATCAAAAAGTCTTCAATTCTACGCGAATGGGTCTCAATCACCACCCAAACGTATTTGTTGTTCGGGAAGTGTTGATGAGATTAAAGATTTGATGTAAGTGCTCAAAAAAAGGGTTAAAAGAAAAGTCTGACACTCAAAATAGACAAAAAATTCAAATTTGTCGTGAAAAATGCTTTAAAAAAAGTATAAACATGACTAGGATTGGTCAAATTTGAAATTTTCCCAAAATTTTGGGTCCCACCACGAAAATTGAGAAATTTCAAACTGAACCAATGTAGGTCGTGTTTGGGCTCATTTTGAAGCTAAAAACATCTCAAATTCAAATATCATTATTTCAAGCTTCTTAACCTTGTCATGTTTCCAGCCACACCACTCGAAGCTCCCACTGGGAACCACCATGGGCGTCATGGCGGTGTCGTCTGGGACTGCCTTACGGATGGGAACAAGCAAAGGATAACGACGGGAACACTTATTACATAGAGTATGCGAAATCTACAGTAATCCCCATCAATCTAACTTTTTTAGCCATTTGAATCGAGCCACCACCTACACCGATCCCAGAAAAACTCGGCCACCCGATGGCAAGAGGACAGTTAGTATTCGACGGGGGAAAGATATAGGATTCGGATTTGTGGCTGCTGGACAACTACCAACTATTATACAGTTTGTGTCGCCAGGTACTGTAGCAAAAAAAAACCGGTAAAAAATGAGCAACTTTGACCCATTTTGAGCCGAGTTACGCACGCTAAGACATAGGTGGTCTAGAAATCCAAATAGCGTCCTGGAAACTCAGAATTTTCAATTTTAAAGCTCAGAACTGTATTTTGGGAGTGTTGAGCTTCAAAATGAGCCCAAACACGACTAGGCTACACCCACTTTAAATTTCAGGGTTAGAACCATTTTTTTAGATCAAATGGTAAAACTACCGTATCTCGGCTCATTTCTGTGCAAACTCAAAAATTTAAAGATTTTCAAATTTTGCATTTAGAGAGCTTCGAAATGAGTATAAACATGACACGGTTCCAACAATTTTAAAATTTCCGACCCCCTATGCGCCTTTAAACCCAAAAAAAACGAAGTTTTCCAAAACTATCCGTGTTGGTACTCATTTCGAAGCTCTGAACGTCTGCAATTCGAAAATAGCAAAATTTCCAAATTTGGACTGAAACCAGCTGATATGTGACGGTTTTACTGAAAAAAACTAGAGTGCAGAGAAGCCAGACACACTGCGTCACTAACCTCGACACGAAAAGTGGAGGGATCCTAGTCGTGTTTAGGCTAATTTTGAAGCTCTAAATATCAAAAGTCTGAAAATGCTAAAATTTTTGAGTTTGGGCAAAAGTGATTTGAGATACGGTTCTTTTACCTTTTGATCCTAAAAATTACCAAAATTAAAAAGTGCTTAAATTTGGTCGTGTTTGGGCTCATTTTGAAGCTCGTTTCTTGCAAAATTGGTAAATGCAAATTTCATGACCTAGATGTGAATTTCTAGGCCACAGAATCCTTATTTTTATTCCAGAAGGTCCATCAGACGGTCTTCTATTTGCCAATGATCAAATTCTGGAGGTCAACGGAGCCAACATGGAAAATGAATCAAAAGACAGCGTGGTGAATGCGGTTCGAGCTACAAAAGACGAACTACAGATTACTGTACAACAGCTACCTCAACGACCGAAAAGTTCGCGGAAAAATTGTAAAGTTCGGTTTACGGATCGAGTTTTGGTATCATCAAATAACGAAAATGTGAGTTTTCCTTATCTGTAAAGCTACAGTATCCCAGGTACTTCGGACCGAGATCAAAAACTTTTGAATTTTTCGAATTAAGCATGTTCGAATTAAGCGAATTAAGAGAGCTTCAAAATGAGCTCAATCATGGCTAGATTTGGTGAATTTTGAAATCTTGAAATGTTCGATTTTCAGTAATTTCAGTAAAACTACCGTATCTCCGTTAATTTTGACTATAACTCAACATTTTTCAACTTTTCAAGTTTTACACGGCAACAGCTTCAAAACGAGCCTAAACACGACTGAAATATCTTAATTTTGAAAAATGGGCTAGAGACGCAGTGTGTCTTGCTTCTCTGCGCTCTAGCCTTTAAAACTATCGTAACGCAGCCAGATACAGTCCGTTTTTGATGTAAGCTATATTTTTGAGTTTCTCACATAGAACGCTTCAAAATGAGTATAAACACGACTAGGTGTGCTCAAAATTTAAAAATTCCGAACTCCTATGCGCCTTTAAACCCCAAAAATGAAACTTAACCAAACACAGTCATGATTGTACTCATTTCAAAGCTCTCAACGCGCCAAATTCAAATTTATTTTTTTTGAATTGTTTGGAATACCGATATCTGATTTATGATCAATTATAATTTTTTTGACAATGTTTGAAATCTGCAAATTTATCGTAACTTGGTTATTTTTATCTTAAATCCTGAAACTCCATTCTTTGAGATTTTCAAGATTAGAGCTTTGAAATGAGTATAAACAACACTATGTTTGAAGAAATTTAAACATTCGAACCCCATATGCGCCTTTAAAACCCAAAAATGGCCAAAAATGAATTTCAACCAAACATAGTCATGATTATACTCATTTTGAAGCTCTCAACGCGCCAAATTCAGATTTCCTAATTTCAACTCTTCAACTGATATTTTTTCAGAATTCCGACTTCCCACCTCTACTCCCAAACGTATTGCGTGTGTATTTGGAAAACGGACAGACGAGATCATTCAAATATGATACGAATACAACGGTTAGGAATATTCTGGAAAGTATTCTCGAAAAACTTCAAATCACCGCCAAATCACACTTTTCACTGGCCGTTGAGTACTCGTTGGGAGCGAGAACAAGTCGGATTAGTCTCTTGAGGCCGGATTGTAAGATTAAATCGGTGAGTTTTGGATTTGAAATTTCGAAAATTGAGTTGGGCTTCAGAAGAGCTTTAAGATGAGCTCAAACACCACTAGGATTGCTCGATGTTTAAAAAATCATGTTTTTTGTGGATGCAACTGTTAAACTACAGTACCTCGCTAATTTTTGATCCAATCTTAAATATTTATGCATTTTTTGATTTCTCACATTTTTAGCTTCAAAATGAATACAAACATGGCTAGGATACTTTAAAATTGAAATTTTCGATTTTCTGAGGGACCATTCGAAAAATTCGGGAAAATTCGAAAAATTCGAACTTTCTCAAATATGGGCATGTTCATACTCATTTTGAAGCGCAAATTGAGATAAATGCATATATGCAAAAATATTTGACTCTGAAACAGCCAGGCTACTGTAGTTTTTTATCAAAGGCTAGAGCGCAGAGAAGCGAGACTCACTACGTCTCTAACCCATTTTTCAAAATCAAGATACTCTAGCCGTGCTTATACTCATTTCGAAGCTCTTGACATAATAAATTCAAAACTGCAAACGTATTTCAGCCTGGAGCCGAAATACCCGAGTTACTGTAGTTTTTCTAGTCTGGACCGTCCGAAAATTCGAATTTTAAACATTTTCTCAAATATAGTCGAGACTAGGCTCATTTTGAAGCTCTTAAAATTTTCAGTTTAACAATTTGAATTAAAAAAGGTTTAAACCAAAACCAGACTATTCACACTAAAAATAAATACATCTGAAAACAATTTTTGAAATGTTTTCATGACAAATTTTCGAAAACCCCTTGACTTTGTTCATTCTCACTCGATTTTAATAATTTCTAGCTTAACTGGTGAGGAATTTTACGGGCTCTAAAATGAATCTAAAATCCTAATCAAAATTTCACTAAAAACAGTCCAAAACACCCAGATCACGGACCCTAAGCTTTAGAAAAAATTTTTTTTTTTTAATTTAAAAAAATTCGTTCACTTTTACTCTATTTTGATGGTTTTAAGTTTAACATGTGGGACACTTAAGAAACTTCAAAATACAACACAATATTTAACTAAAATCTAACTAAAAACATTCCAAAATTTCCAGATCGTGGACCTACCCAACTCGGAACACCTTCGATGCGTCTTTCGTCTCTCGTTCGCCCCTGCCGACGCTTTTGTGCTCCTCTTATCAGATCCAAAAGCTCTAGAATATTATTATCAGCAATGTGTGAATGATGTGGTCCGTGGCCGATTTGCCATGGAAATGAGATATGAGGCCTGTATCAGGCTCGCAGCACTGCACGTGCAACAGGTCGCCTATGATTGCAATATATTGAAGGAGAACAACAAGGTGTCGGTGAATCGAGTGGAGTGAGTTACAATTCTCAATATGAAATTGTAAAAACCAGATAAAAATGAGCTATTTTGAGCCGAGATATTATGTTTTTAAGTTTTTTCGACCTGACGGCCTAGAAATCCAAAACTAGGCCATGCCTCTGTTATATTCACAACTTACAAGTCAAGAGCTTCCAAATGAGCCCAAACACGACTAAGTTTGGTCAAATCCGAATTTTGACGATTTTGGGATCAAATGGTAAAACTACAGTAACCCGGTTATTTTGTGTCCAACCTTGAATATTTTTCAATTTTCAAGTTTTGCACGTTTAGTGATTTGAAATGAGCCTAAACACGACCAGAATCCGTCAATTTTGAGATTCGAGATCAGAGACGCAGGTTTACTCGTTTCTCTGCACTCTAGCTTTTTCATTAAAACTACCGTATCTCGGCTTATTTTGGTCCACATTTCAAAATTATTTGAATTTTCAAGTTTTTGATGTTTTCAGCTTCGAGAACAGCCTAAACATGACTAGAATTGGTCAATTTTGAAAATTTTCCAATTTTCCCACGGTCCCAAAGAAAATTCCGAAATTTCACATTTTTTCAAATATTGTCATGTATATGCTCATTTTGAAGCTTTTGACTCGTCGAATCTCAATTTCTAGTTTTTTGCTGATAAAATTCAATTGTTAAAGAGTTATCAACTTAAACGTTTTTTTTTCAATTTTCTCATTTTTCAGAAGAGAATACGGTTTGGGAACGTTCCTGCCAGCGATTGTATTAGAAAATGTAAAGCGGAGAGATGTGAGAAAACATATTCGATTTTATTTGAAAAGGGACAGTTCGAGATTAGTGGATTGTCTTGGGAAGCCAAGTGTCAGCAATGGGTATCCGCCTGAATTGGAAGCTTGTGAGTTTGTATTTGGGTTTTCTTGTAGTTCCAGTGAGATTGGGACTGCAAAACACATTTAGGTTTGAATTCTACGCGCTGTGAGCTTCAAAATGAGCCTAAACATGACTAGTTTTGATTAAGTTTAATTTTTTGGCCATTTTTAACTTTTAAAGGGGTATAAGGGGTCGGAAATTTCAAATTAGAGCAAACCAAGCATTGTTTATGCTCATTTTAAAGCCCTCAACGAGCCAAGTTCGAAAATATAATTTTCATCGCAAACTGAATAAAACTAGCAGAGTTACGGTAGTTTTAAAGGCTTGAGTGCAGAGAAGCGAGAGACGCTGCGTCTCTGACCCATTTTTTTTAATTCAAAGGATTCTAGTCGTGATTGAGCTCATTTTAAAGCTCTTAACTTGCTGAATTCAACAATGTTATTTGCAAATGTCTTAATTCAAATTCAGACGTTTTACAGTTAAAATTCTAAAATGTTTCAAAAAAATTTTCGGTTCATTTTGAAAACCCGATAACTTGTTTTATTTTCAGTCAATTTGAATGATTCTAGATTTAAATTGTAGGAAATTTTATGGGCTTCAAAATCAAATACAACATGCAGAATCCAAATTTCTAGGCACCTCCCAATTCGCCAATGAGCCTAGCATGATGGTCCGTCTCAAGTACATCCACATTGTCTCTCATCTTCCATCATTTGGCGGACGGTCGTTTTGTGTGACATTCAAAGAGTCTCAAATTGATATGCTCATGCAAGTGGAACCAAGAACTGGACTCTTGGTACGGCATCCTGGGAAATCTGGACAGCCATCGATATCGATTGGTTTTGATTTAATTGGAAAATTGGTGGTTTGCAAGGAGACGGATGTGGCTTCTATGATTAGTATTCGATTGGCTAGTAATCCACATCAAGGATTAGAGTTTCTGGTTGATAAGGATGATTTGGATGATTTGGTCATGTATATCATTGGGTATCATAAGGTAGGTGGCGTTTAAAGGCGCATAAAGGCTCTGATAGCATGTGAAACTCCAGTTGAAAGTGGAGCTCAATTATCTCGATTCCTGTAAAAGATATCAAAAATTTGTCAACTGATAAAATAATCCTCTTAAGATAAGTAATTCTTTATCTGTTGACAAAATTTTGATGTCTGTTATAGGAACCGAGATAATTGAGCTCAAAATGCAACTGCGTCAGCTAATACTCGGTTTTGATCTTAAGTTTGTGAATATTACATTTTCCAATGTTTATTACTGAAATTGTTTGGTAGTCCCTTGTTAATGAATTGTGCTATAACTTGCTCAGTTTCGGCCCAAATTGTTTTAACTTGAAATTTTGAACTTCTTATTCAAAAAGTTTAAAATGAGCCTCAACACGACTAGTCTAGCCCAGTTTTGAATTTTTGCTTACTAAACGCGACGCAACCGCAACGCACTGGTCGAAATTCAAAATAGAGGCAAACTAGTCATGTTTAGGCTCATTTTAAAGCTAATAACATGGGAAGTACAAATATGTTAGTCTCATTGTGTTTACAATACGTTTAACGAAATTAGGGGCAAATTACCAAAACTCAAAATTTTTAACAAATTTTGAATTTTTAGCAAAACTCGGTTAAACTTGCTCCAATACCTCTCAAACCGAACTTAATGAATATCTTACAGTTTCAGTTTTCACATGAGCCCAAACATGGCTAAATTTGGTAAAATTTGAAAAACGGGCATTTTTCGGTGGTCCCACAACGAAAAATCGAAATTTTCGAAATTTTTCAAACCTAGTCATGTTTAGGCTCATTTTTAAGCTTTCAATGTTGAACGTTAAGAAATTATAAAATTTTCGAGTTCGAACCGAAACGAGCCAAGATACGGTAGTTCGACCCAAATATATACAAAAATCAAACCTAAACTAACTCAGTCGTGTTTAGGCTTATTTTAAAGCTGAAAACCTCTAAAATTTGAAATATTAGGTTTCAAAACCTAAAACGAACCCACAAATCAAAACATCCATGTTTTCAGATAATCTACGAGAAAGATCTCGAGTGTGAAATCGACGATTCCCCACCGTGTGCTCGTGAGCTTCCCGACAAGGCGCCTCCCTACTCCGCAATACATACCGTAATCAAATCCGATTGGAATTATTCAGAAAATTCTGAAGCGACCCAAGAGAACGCTTTCGACCCAACAGATGGTCCACCGAGCTATGAAATTGCCAATTCTTTTGTTCAAATTGCCTTTGGCAACGATAATGAAGCAGGAGATGGGCAACAGTTGGACAATTTACCCAAATTTGAACCTAAAAAGCTGTTAAGAGCTACCGACTCATTATTGATTAAAAATTCGAGGGAATTGCATGCGAAAGAAATTCAAAATGATCAGGAATCATCGGATGCCGAGGATTCTTCTTTTTCTTCCCCTCTCCGCTCGCCAAATATCGATCGATTATGCGATGGTATTGATTTATTGATGACTGGACCACCGGCTCGACGAGCATCCATTGAGACATTGCTTCAGAATAATCAGAATCCGAATCAGAATTTGGAAAGTTTGATTTTACAATTTCCATCGATTCCGGATGATGAGGAGGAGGAAGAAAGTAATATTGGAATGGCTACGTCTACGACTACGGTAGTGGCAAATGGAAAATGCTATCAAAATGGGTCAGCTAGTAAGAATAGGTAGGAAATTTGAAGTTAGCCTCTTCTATTGGAAAATGTAATTGAGCCATAACTTCCCTAATTTTGACTCAAATCTTTTAAAATTTAAGTTTTTGGGTCTGCCATGTTCTGAGCTTTAAAATGAGCCTAAGCACGACCTAGTTAGGTCAAACTTCAAGTTTGACCAGTGCGTTGCGGTCGCGGTCGCGGTTGCAGGGTCAAAATTCAAAATTGAGCTAGATTAGTCGTGTTTGGGCGCATTTCAAAGCATTTTTCATAACAAATTTGAATTTGCCATGTTAAGGATTTTGAAATGAGCCTAAACGTGGCTAGGATTGGTCAATTTCGAAAATTGTTGATGTTTTGAGGGACCGTGGAAAAATTAGAACATTTCAAATTCGAAGGTTTCTAGGCATGTTTAGGCTCATTTCAAACCTCTTAACATCAAAAATTCGATAAAAAAACAATTTGTAAATTTAAACTACTTTGGAGCAAAAACGAGCGAGATTCAGCCAAAATTCCTAAATTTTGGCAAGATTTAGGCAACGAACTGTAATTGAGCCATAACTTCCTTAGTTCTGGTCTAAAGGGATTCAAGTTACACTTTTTGAATTCACCATGTTTTGAGCTTCAAAATGAACTTAAACTTGACCCACTTTGGTAAAGTTTGAAATTTGGAGATTTTCAGGTTGGACCCTCGAAAAAATTTGAAAATTTCAAAGTTAACGTTTTCTAGGCATGCTTGGGCTCATTTTAAAGCTCTAAACATTGGAAATTCAAAAATGTGGATTTCGGCTAGCTTGGAGCAAATTCAATCAAGATTGAGCCGGTATTCCTGACTTTTGTTTGAGGATCAAACTGTAATTGAGCCATAACTTCCTCAGTTTTCGCCCAAACTCGAAAATCTTCAAATGTTTGAATTTTACATGTTTTGAACTTCAAAATGAACCTAAACACGACCCAGATTGGAAAAATTTGAAAGTTTCGAATTTTTCCACGGTCCCCCCGGCAAAAAACCTGAAAATTTCAAAATTGAAGCTTTCTAGGCATGGTTAGGCTCGTTTTGAAGCTCATAACATGCTGAGCTCAGATGTATTATTTTCAAGCTATAAATTCTGATTTTAAGCTAGCTTCGACCCCAAAAAGGGGCCTAGGTACAATTTTCGGAACCTAGACTTGTGGTACTCATTTTGAAGCTCTCAACGTCTCAAACTCGACTATTTGCTTGATTTTCTAAAAATCTTAATTTTCAGCGACCAACACCAGCCACTAATCTGCACTCCAGTGTCTTTTGGTGACTCAATTGCTGCCATCGACGATGATGTTCCACTACTTTGAATTTTTTATTGATTTTTTAATCACAATTTTCCCATCCCACACCACATTCCTATCCCATTGTGATACGAATCCCCGAAAAACCCCCAATTTTTTGGTCCCATTCCACTCTTTTCGCTTTCTCCTTTCTATTTTGCGCCGATTTTTGCCTCCCCAATCACCAGTAATAAATCAGCTACACAGCGTTTTGGAGCACTAAAAGGGGGCGTGGCTTAAATTGAGTGACAGGAGAACGAGAGCGTGGAGAAGGGAGAGAGTGTTAGAGAAACGAGCAACTGTTCTGAAAAGTGGGGACCAAATCACACCACTCGGGTCATTGTGCGGATCGGAGAGCTCCAGAGCTCTCCGGACCTGCTCACTCAAAAATTTTCGGTGCCTAAGAATTTTTTAGAGCTCTCTTCATTTATTTTTAACTATTTTAATTCCAAATTTCACATTTAGAGCTTCAAAATGAGCCTAAACACGCCCAAGGCAATTTTTTAAGGAACCAAACTGAAACTGAGCCATAACTCCCTCAGCCTTAGTCCAAACTTTTTGAAACTATTATTTTTGAATTTGTCATGTTTTCAGCTTTAAAATGAGCATAAACACGCCTATGGTTGAAAAAATTTGAAAAATTCGAGTTTCTGGAGGGTCCAGCAATAAAACTACAGTAACTCGGCTACATTGGTTCACAGCTGACACGTTTTTATGAATTTGAACTCGCCATGTTGAAAGCTTTGAAATGAGTATAAACATGACTAGGATCCTTCAATTTTGAATTTTTTGAATTTTCCCACGGTCCGGCCGAAAATTCGAAAATTTCAAAATGGACCAATCCTAGTCATGATTAGGCTCATTTTGAAGCTAAAAACAAGAAAAAGGCAAAAGATAAAGTTTGGACCGGTCAGAAGTAAAGTAAACAGAGTTATAATCAAATATCCGAATTTCCGAAATGGTTTTAAACAAGTTCCAAATTTAGTTTATGTTGGTCCAAACTAGCGAAATTTCATATTTTTGAATTTTCTAAATTTAAGATTTTAGCTCGTTTTTTTTAACTACAAAATGAGCCTAAACATGACTAAAGTCCGTCAAATTTGAAAAATCAAGATTTTTTTGATGGACCACAGGAAAAACCGAAATTTTCAAAATTGAAGATTTCTAGGCATGTTTAGGCTCATTTTGAAGCTCTTAACATGACAAGCTCGAAAGTTTAAGACCGAAGTCTTTCGGACCAAAAATAAGGAAGTTAGAGCTGTTTTAGATATGAAATTGACCAATGTGCGTGTTTAGGCTCATTTTGAAGCTCTAAATCATGGGAAAATAGTTTGAAGTAGCTTTTAACGATTTTAAAAACCCTAAAATTCTTACAGACTCATATTTTCAAAGAAACTTGGTTTTCTATCGCTTTAAAGGAATTTAGGGCTCCCAAAAGTGTTTTTTACTCATTTCAAAGCTTTCTTTTCAATTCTCCATGTGCTTTTTAAACTTTTTGAAGTTTACAGTATGAAAAGCATCATAATCCTCGTCTCACTCTTGGCAGTGGTTGCCATGGCCGATTTCATCGACATCGGCTACAAAACCTGCAAAGCCGACGGTACCGTATCCCAAGTGAAAGCCGACGGATGTGATTTGGTAATCAAAGATGGCAAAAAAGTGTGTCTCTTCAAGAAAGGAACCCGTCCAGTCATCCAAATCGCCTTCAAGCCAAGCACCGCATCGGATAAGCTTAAAACCTCGGTTCGCGCCAAGGTTGGAGGATCCGCAATGGTCGATTTCCCACAACAGAACTCGGATGCTTGTACTTATGGTGAGTGGGACATGAAAAAAGACAAAAAACGACCTGAAACGCCCTCTGGTACCATACCAATAGCATAAAAAATGAGCAAAAAGGGAAACAAAAAGAAATCCGTCGAGCCGGATTCGAACCAGCGACCTAAGGATACCCACTGACTCTACAGTCCTCCGCTCTACCAACTGAGCTATCGACGGCACACCGGGAAGAAGAGGCGAAGGCGTATAGGAAGGAGGGGGAAAGTGGCGGTGGGTGAGGAGACGCAGAGGGGAGTAGAGGAAACTTTTTGGAGGGAAATTTCGGAATTTTTGGGAAGCTACAGTAATCCAGAAATTGCTAGTTGTGGGGATTTGGGGTAGTTTTCAATGGGTTTTCAAGCTATTTGAGTGGCTAGAAATCACCAAAATTAATTGTTTTTCTAATTTTTTAAAGGTTTTCTGAAATATTTTTTCAAATCTACAGTAATCCAGAAAACTTTCAAAATCATCTCAAAAGTCTCACGAAACCTTTTTTGCTCATTCCCTCAAAGTTCTCGAAAAAAAAATTTCATTCTAGGGGCCTACCCATATTCTCAGTGGCTTTGGCCTAGGATTATCTATTCTAGTGGCGGCGCCAACAGTAAAACAACAGTAACTCGGCTATTTTGGACCCAATCTTAGATATTTGTGCATTTTTGAAATTTCCCAAGTTTTTAGCTTTAAAATGACCCCAAACACGACTAGTTTTGCTCAATTTTGAATTTCGACTAGTGCGTTGCGGTCGCGTCGCGTTTGGTAGGTCAAAATTCAAAATTAAGCTAGACTAGTCGTGATTAGGCTTGTTTTAAAGCTGAAAATTTGAGAAAATTGTAAATCAGCTTTTCAGCAAAAATAAACTAAAATAAAAAAATTTATAGCAAGAAAACCGCAATAGATGAACTTTATTGAAAAAAGCTTCATAACTCGTCGCATATATCTCCCATTTTTGATTTTCAAAGTTTATTCGAATCCTCAAAACTACAGTAATCTAAATTTCCAGGTGTCAAATGCCCTTTGACCGCCGGTTCGGAGCAAGTTTTCGAGCAATCCATCGCTATCACTGATAACCATCCAGCTGGTGATCAAATCCAGGTCAACTGGCAACTCACACGTCCAGACGCTGGAAAAGAAGTCTGCATCATTTTCTTGGCTGAAATTGTTGAATAATTCTTTTAGTCTGGAGTTTTTCTTGATTTTCATAATTTTGGTTGGCCTTCAAAAGGCGCAATAAATCTTTTCGAGCATTCAAATTTATGTTTCATCTTTTCAATTGATTTTTAATAAATTTTTTGAAGGTGTCAACAGATTTCACACGTTTTGAGCTAAAAAATCAACAAAATCCGTTGAAAATTAGCAAAGTTACATTTTTGTCGAAATTTGTATGAAAATATAAATTTTGTTTTTGTCATAACTCCTGGAATTTTTGTCAAAAACGCCTGAAGTTATGATTTTTGAATTTCTTTCAATTTTAGCTTCAAAATGAGTATAAACATGCCTAGGGTAGATTAGTTTTGAATTTCGACCAACCGCGACGCGACCGCAACGCGCAGGGAGAATTTCTAAGTTGAGCAAAGCTAGTCGTGCTTAGGCTCATTTCAGAGCTCTGAACGTAAGTAACTCAGAACTGTAGACTTCAAGTCTATTGGACCAAAACTGAGCTACTTATGGTACAATGCCTCAAAAGTGACCATTCAAAAAATGTATTTCCTTCCTAACTTTTGAAATTGTACCCCAAATTTCATGAAACTTTGATTTTTGCAATTTTTACACTTTCAGGTTTAAAATTAGCCTAAGCATGCATAGGATCCTTTAAATTTGAATTTTCGGATTTTTTTCATGGACCATCTGAAAATTCGAAATTTTCAAAAGTCATCAAATCTAGTCGTGTTTAGGCTCATTTTGAAGAAAAAACCTAGATAAATGCAAAATCGCAAAAATATTTGAGCTTGGACCTGAACTAGCCAAGTTACTGTAGTTTTTCTGTTGGATCATCCGAAAATTCGAATTTTCGAACTTTTTCAAATCTAGTCATGTTTATGCTCATTTTGAAGCTCTCAACGAGAGTCATCTGATTATGATATTTTCATGACCTAATTTTGGAGTTCTAGGCCACCAGGTGGCGATTTCTAGGCCAGCCACCTAGAACTACCAAGGTACGCTAGAATGGATGGTTTTGAGGTCATTTTTTTTGAATTTTGCGTTTTTTCAGATTTTTCAATTTTTTTTTATTTTCTCACGCGTTTCCAAAGTTTTGGCTTTCTCAAAAAATCCAAAAAATCCAACAAAAACATTTAGTTTCTCAAATTTTCCAAAAATTGAAATTTTTGGGAAAAGTCCTTGAAAAAATAAGAGAAATGTCGGATCAAAAAGCGATTGAAACGGTGGGAAATTCTTTTTTTTTTTTTTTTTTTTTAATTTTATTCAAAATTTTTGAAACTTTTTGGCGCCAAATATTCAAATTAACAAGCCTACCCTTGCTTCTAGGGTAGCTGGCCTAGAAATCGCCACCTGGTGGCCTTGAAATCCAAATTTAGGCCATGAAAATATTTAAAACAAATTTGTCTCATTGAGAGCTTCAATATGAGCATAAACATGACTAGATTTGAAAATTTTGAAAATTTCGATTTTTCGGAGGGGGTCCATGAAAAAAATCCGAAAATTCATAATTGACCGATTCTAGGCATGTTTATACTCATTCTGAAGCTGAGAATGTGAGAAATTCAAAAATATAAGTTTTATTATAGTTGGATGAAAATTCAAAAAGTTATGAAGAAAATAAATTGGTGACTCAAAAAAAAAATTTTCCAAAAAAAGTTTTTTTTTACCAAAAATGGAAAATTTTCCTTTTTTTTCTGAAAACCGGAATTTTATGTTTTAGACCAGAAAAAGTAGATAAAAATCAAAAAATCCATGTTCAGTGGGTGGCGGTTTTAGCGGTTTTCGGGGTCAAGAATAGATTTTTATCTTTTTTTTTTGGAAAATCTCCAAAAAGAAAGTCTTTGAAGATTTTTATGAAAGTTTCGACACAGTTTTTGGGTTACTGTAGTTTTTCGAATTTTTTGAATTTTTGAAAATATCTGAATTTAAAATTTCCCTCTATTTTTCAGGCTATCGAGTACACGGAAGACCAGCTCAAGTAAGAAATCCCAAAAAATCCAATTTTCTCTTTTTTTTTTCCCCGGAAATTGCTCATCTTTAACTTCCAATTTCCGGAATTTCCTATTTTTCAGATTGCTAGATGCCAATTGTTTGACTGCACTCTCATTTGGTGGTGAGCCCCTTAATTAGCCTAATTAGCATAATTCAAAAAATTAATCTGTTTTTTTCCCTTTTCTAAATATTCTCAGCTCAAAAAAAATCCAAAAAATTACTTAACATTTGGAAATTTCAAAAAATTTCAAAAAAAATTTTTTTCAGAAAACATGGGAAGACGTGCGAAGGCTAGAAGACGTGCCGCTCGTCTCGCTTCTGAAAATTTGGAATCATCCGAAGAGCCGAGCTCTGTGTTGAGCGATGAGACGGGTTGTGAAGTGAGAAGCGAGAGACTCAGAGAAAAGAGCGCTCTCGCTTCTCTGCGTCTCTTTGTGGGCGCGCCAATCTTTAAAGGCGCATATCTCAATAACCGTAATAGCTATCAAAAAGTTGTAAATTAAAAAAATGTGTAAAATTGTAGCAGCTACATTTTTGCAGTTGACAACTTTTTTCTAGCTTTTGTAGTTTTTGAGATATGGGCGTTTATAGCGCATATGCCAACTTTTACCTTCAAATTTTTATATCTGATGACCCATAAACGCTATTTTTAAATTTCAAACTGCAAAATTTCATTCATTAAATTTTACACATTTCTTTAGTTGACAACTGTTTTCTAGCTCAATCCTTACTTGAGATATGCGCAGAGACGCAGAGAAACGAGACCGCTATCGCTTCTCTGCGTCTCTTGTCGGCGCGCGCAATATTTGATGGCTCATATCTCGAAAACTACAGTAGTTATCACAAAGTTGTAAACTACAAAAATATGTAGAATTTTATAAGCTACATTTAAATGTAAAATCACAAATGTGCGCCAAAAATTAGGAAAGTTATGAAATTTTGAGTTTTCTCCAAAAAAAAAGTAGTACTTCAGACAGTTTATGACCGATTTTTGTTATATAAAATGCGCTCCACGGCATTTTTTTTCTTTTTTCAACTTCAGAAGTTTTTAGATTCCCAGCATTCCATCAAAACCATCTCCATCGCGTATCCCTGTCCTCCAGAAGGGCTACCAATTTGAAAAGTCGACTGAAGAGGAGAAATCCACAAAAACTGCTATTCCGTTGACATCGAAAATTCCGAGACCACTGATTTTTATCGATCGTTACAATGTCTCGAGTCTCTCCAACACGGCAGAGACTTCTGAATTGCCAAGTTTTACTCAAAAAGTGAGAATTTTGAATTTTTGAATTATATTATAGATTTGTGTAAAATTGAATTTCCAGCAACTTTGCTGTTGAAAGCTTTTTGATTGTTTTTCTGGTTCTCGAAATATGCCTTTAACGTTCTTAGGAGACGCAGAGAAGCGAGAGTGCTATCGTTTCTCTGCGTCTCTCACAGCGCCAACTTTAAAAGCGCATATCTTGAGAACCGTAATAGCTATCAAAAAGTTGTAAACTGTAAAAATGTGTGAAATTTCATAAGTTACATTTATGCAGTTTACAAATTTTTTCTAGCTACCGTATTTGTTGAGATATGCGCATTTAAAGTTGAGCCATCCCTCTTTTGGGCACGCTAACTTTAAAGGCGCATATCTCGAGAAGGATGATAGCTATCAAAAAAATTTCAACAAACAAATTGTGTAGAATATCATAAGCTACAGTAATCCATTTTTTTTTTTTAATATTAACGAATTCTAGAGAACTCTTCAATTTTCAGACTGGCGACTCGTTCACCCACTCCACCATGGTCACTGGCACCCACTCGGCCACCATGCCACCCGGACTTTCTCCACTTCCATATTGCTCATCTTCTAGTGTAAGAAACATTAAAATTTTAATTTTAAAAAATTTAATTTTCAAAACTTTCAGAATTCTTCCGAAGACATTCAAAACCAAGTTTTGGTGGTTTCCGAGGCATCCAACGGGCTCCAGATGACGTTTGACATGCAAAAAGTGGTCTCTGCGTTTGGGTTGGATTTTGCAGGAATCAAGATCATCTGAAAAAAAACCGAAAAATAAGCCCCAACTTGCTAAATAAAGATATTCGTTCTAGTTGTTTGTTATATCTGTGTTGATCCCTAAAATTTCTGGGAAAAAAACCACCTGGAAAACATTTCATTTTCTCAAAAAGCCAAAAAAACTACATGAACACCATAACAATAACGTTAACAAAGAGCGAAAAAGAAAACAAAAAGAAATCCGTCGAGCCGGATTCGAACCAGCGACCTAAGGATACCCACTGACTCTACAGTCCTCCGCTCTACCAACTGAGCTATCGACGGAACACCGGGAAGAAGAGGCGAAGGCGTATAGGAAGGAGAGGGAAAGTGGCGGTGGGTGAGGAGACGCAGAGGGGAGGAGGATGGAACTTTTTGGAGGAAAATTTTGGAATTTTAGGGAATCTACAGTAATTCAGAAACTGCTATTTTGGTAGTTTTCAATAGGTTTTAAAGTAATTTTAGCGCTTAAAATTTTAAAAATCCCCGAAATTGCTTGTTTTCTTTCAGATTTTGTCAAAAAAAATTTCTGAAAATTTTCAGACAAAGATTTCAGACATTTTTTCGTCATTCACATTTTTTGATTCATCATTCGAATGACTCAAAATGATTACAGTACGAAAACAAAGCATTTTCAGACTCAAAACAAACAATTTTCAGACTAAAATTTTCAGATAAGTTTTTTTTTGTTTTTTTAGCAGCTGAAAATCGGAACCTTTTTGGTTTTTTGTTCAAGAGGAATCTTTAGATTTTGTAGGGTCCCAAAAAGTTGAAATCTGGAAATTAAGAAGGAAATTTTTTTCAATAATTTTTTTTTCAAAAATTTTGAAAGTCTAAGCTTTGAAGCGTTATATCTCAAAAACCAAAAAAGCTATCAAAAAGTTATGTATAACAAAATTGCTCAGCATAAAATTTCGCACATTTTTGTAGTTGGCCACTTTTTAATAGCTATTGTAGTTCTGGAGATACGCGCCTTCAGAAAAATGCACACCTCTCCCGGCGCAAGAAAAGAGGGCACCAACTTCAAAAGCGCATAACTCAAAAACTACAGTGGCTAGAAAACAGTTGTAAACTACAAAAATGTAAAAAATTAAATTTTAAACATTTTTGTCGTTTACAATTTTTAGACAGCTCTCCTAGTTTTTGAGATATATTGCTTTGAAAATCTTGAGTACTACTGTAGTAAAAAATGAGAAAAATTAAAAAAAATTTTTGTTAAATGTTGGTCCCAAAAAAGCTATTTTTAGCTAAAAACATCAGGTTCAGGTCCAAAAAAACAAAAATCAAGTTTTTTTTTTCGAAAAAAATGTTTTCATGAATTTCAAATTTCTCAGGTTTTCTCTCAAAAAAAAAAGTCCCATGAAAATTGGGTGCGTGGGACTAAAACCAAAATGATTTAAATTTTAAAATAGATGTAGGTCAAAAATTTCGAAAAATTCGTGTGCTTTGGCTTTTTGATCTTTTTTTGATGTTAGAATTTGAAATTCTGGGTTTTAAAGAGTTTAAAAATCCGGTTTTTTTTGCTGAAAAAAGGTGAAAAATCTGGAAAGTTAGTCTAAAAAAATCTGAAATTTTGATTTTCTCAGTTTTTGAAGCTTAAAATGATGTCATTTCTAATAAAAAAGTCGTTAAAACAAATTTTTTGAAAAAAAAGTTTAATTTTAATTTTTTTCAAAGAAAAGGGTAATAGGCAATTCAAAAATCAATTAGCTTTTGTTTCTGAAACCTTTTTAGTGCCAAAAGTTTCTGTTTTCCCAAAAAAGTTTGAAAAAGTAGTTTAAAGAGACATTTAAAGCGCTCCAATTTCCCTTGTGGGGTGTCTTTAAAGGTACATAACTCAAAAACCAGAATTGCTATGTAAAAATTACAAACTGCAAAAATGTGTAAAATTTAATTGTTTACATTTTTGTAGTTTAAAACTTTTTAGTAGCTTTTACGGTTCTTGAGATATGCGCTTTTAAAGAGACTCAGTGCAAAATATGGGGTTTTTTAGGTTTAAAGGCGCTTATCTCAAAAACTACTGTAGATGGTAAAAGGTTTTAAACTACAAAAATGTGTAAAAATCAATTTTACACACTTTCTCAATTTATCACTTCTTTTTAAATACTGTAGTTTTTGAGTTATGCGCTTTTACAGATACAAGCCTCGAATTGCGGTAGGAGAGACGCGGAGAAACGAGGGTGGCTGGTTTCTCAGTTTTTGCTTTAAAGGCATATAACTCTAAAATTACGGTAGCTATCAGAAAGTTATAAACAAAAAAGGTAGAAAATTTAATTTTACGCATTTTGTAGTTTACAACTGTCTATTAGCTCTTACGGTTCTTGAGATATGCGCCTTTAAAACGGTATGTTTCCTCTGCGTCACTTTAGAGGCGCATATCTCCAAAACTAAGGTAATTATCAAAAAGATTAAAACTACAAAAATGTAGGAAATTTGATTTTCCACATTTTATCAGTTTACATTGTTTTTCTAGAAACTGCAGTTTTTGAGTTATGCGTCTTTAAAGATACAAGCCACGGATGGCTGGCATCTTATTCTTTAAAGACGCATATCTCAAAAACTACGGTACCTTTCAAAAAGAACAAAACTACAAAAATATGGAAAATTGAATTTTACACATTTTTGTAGTTTACAACTTTTTGATAGCTATTACGGTTCTCGAGATATGCGTCTTCAAAAAGTCCCATGCGGTGTTTTTGGATCTGCGTCTCTTTAAAGGTGCATATCTCAGAAACTACGGTAGCTATCAAAAAACTGTCAACTAACAAAATCTGAAAAATTTCATGCTAAGCAATTTTGTTGTTTGTAGTTTCTGTCTGACTTCATTGATTCTTGAGATACGGTGCCTTTAGAAAAGTACTTCCCCTACTGGTTAGAATCTCAAAAATTCTTCCAGAAAAATCGCACCAAACAATTTCTAATCGCACGTCTTCTGACGTCAAAATTCTTTCTAGAATAATCGAAACTCAACGTGTGAGACCTTCTGATTACGTGCTTCTCCAGAAGGTTCTCAATTCTATTCAAAATCAGAAACATTTGTATTCTTTTTGAATACAAATACTTTAGTGAACTTGGATGTCAAGAATTTCGAGATGACTTTTTGACCCCTAGGAAACTTGAAAATAGGAAAAATTTTGATCTGAAACTTAAATTTGGTTCCTGGTCCAAAAAAATTGGGATTTTTTGGCAAAAGAGCCAGATTTGACTGAAATTTGAAACCCTTAATTAGGTCATATTTCTGTTAGATTTGGTCCAAGTTCACAAATTTTAATGGCGTTGAATTTGGCTTGATTCGAGCTTCAAAATGAGTATAAACATTTCAAGTTTTGAAAGTTTTTGAAATTTTCGAATTTTTGGGTCCCACCACGAAAAGTTGAAAATTTCAATTTTGAGCGAAATCATCCGTGTTTGTGCTAATTTTGAAGCTTGAAAACAGAGGAATCGGAATTTTCAGATTTTTTCAAGATTGATTAAAAATGGACCAAAATATGGTCAACACTAGTTTTGACTCTCTGAAACATTTTCAGCTTCTTTCGACCATATCTCTGTTCGATTTTGTCCAAGTTCACAAATTATGACACAATCAAATTTGACTTGATTTGCGCTTTAAAATGAGTATAAACATGCCAAGTTTTGAAAAATTTTGAAATTTTCGAAAATGTTTGGGTCCCGCCACGAAAAGTCAAAAAATCAAATTTCAGAAAACCTAGGCGTATTTATATTCATTCTAAAGCTTGAAGCTCAAAAAAATCGAATTTTTAACTTTTTTTGAATTCGGTAAAAAATGGACCAAGATATGGCTAAAACCAAGGTTGGTTAATTTTGGCGTTTCAGCTTCATTTGATCATATCTCGGTTAGTTTTTGTTGGATTTGTATGAAATAAATATTTTTGAGTTGGCCTTGATTAGAGCTTTAAAATGAGTATAAATATGCCTAGTTTTGAAAAATTGTGAAAATTTCGACTTTTGGGGTCCCGCCACGAAAAATTCGAAATTTCCAAAATTTTCCAAACCGAGTCATGTTTATACTCATTTTGAAGCTCTCAACGAGACAAATTCGAATATTTTAGATTTTTCTGGAAATCTTAAATCATTCGAAAGTTAGAGTTCAAAAGATCATCTGAAAAGTCCATTTGGAAAATGAGAATTCTCTTTTTGACATCATCTTTTGGATTCTAACAGAAGATTTTTTTCAATACAGAAAATTTTTTCGTGTCAAAAGAATATTTAATGATTCGGAAAAGTTCGATATCATGACATGACTTGATGTTTCTATGAATTTCAGAATTTTCAAAAAAAAATTTTTGGCGCCAATTTTTTTACCGGACCACTCCTGGAAAATCGCATTTGTTTATTGGATTTGCAGCCCCGAAAAAAATTGAAAAACAAAATTTAATTTTTTTTTAAACCAATTTTCCATGATGTTCTGTGTTTTTGGACCCACAAAATTTTTTCTGACTCACCGGCCCCGGAAATCGAACCCAGACTCATTGTTTGACGAAAAAATGGGTTTCGGAAGTGGGCGGAGCCTAATGGTCCCATAAGAAAAAATTGTGAGATTCTGGGTCATTCAGAAGACGTCAAAGGATTCAGAATACAATTTTTTGGATGTTCTAGAATTTTCTAAAAAATCAAAGTTCTGTACTTTCTGACGCAAATATGGCCATGAGGATTTTGAAATATTTTTGAAATTTTCAGAGAAATCTGAAAAATTGAAATTCTGAAGTTTTGAAAAAAAACAATTTTCAAAGCGTTATATCTCAAAAACTAAAAAAGATAAGTACAAACTACAAACTACAAAAATATAGAAAACTAAATTTTGAACATTTCTGTAGTTTGTAGTTTTTTAATGTTTATAACGGTTCAGGAGATATGCGTTTTAAAAGAGATTGGATAGCCTGCGTTTCTTTAAAAACGTATATCTCTAGAACTATCATAGCCATCAAAAAGTAGTGAACTGTGAAAATGTGTAAAATTGAATTGTCTACAATTTTGTAGTTGGTAATTTGTCCCTAGCTTTGCTAGTTTTAGAGATATGTGCCTTTAAAGTGACCCCTAACACGGCGGGAAAAGAAGGCGGAGAAACACAGAGAAACAATGGTGTCTGATTTCTCTGCGTCTCTATTAACGCAATTTTCAACGTTTTTCTAGATTTTTTTAACGTCAAAAACGCTATATGACAGCAAAATAGTCAATTTCCGTCAATTTCCGGTTGCTGAACTTTTCCGGAGACCAGCGACCCAAAAGAAGTTATTTTGTGATTTTCTTACGATCTCTGTTTTTGTTTTCGCTTTATCTCAGAAACCAAAAAAGCTAGACATAAACTACAAACTGCAAAAATGTGTGAAATTTAATTTTAAACATTTCTGTAGTTTGTAGTTTTTAGATATCTGGAAGGGTTCTTGAGATATGCGCCTTTAAAGAGACGTAGGGCGGATACACCGCATGCGGATCTTTAAAGGCGCATATAGGAAAACCATGATAGTTATCAAAATTTTGTCAACTATGAAAATGTGTAAAATGAAATTTCCTACATCCTTGTAGTTAGTAGTTTGTCCCTAACTACTGTCGTTTTTGAGTTATGCGCCTTTAAACCTACCAAACAGTTTGAATGGGTCGCACGCAGAACGGAAGAGGCTTCCTGGTTTGCAGAAGGCTCGGATGAATTCTGAAGTGCAGGTGGTGTTGACACCTGGAAACTTGAGACATCTGGAGTCACGGAAACACAGATGGACGGTCTAGAGGGATTTTCGTCACTTTTTTTTGTTTTTTTTTTTGGACGAATTTCAAAAAACGAGGATTCCATGAATTTTAAAATTCCTAAAATAGCCTTTTTTCTTCTTTTTTTTCCAATTGTTCCTTTGGAATCTTAAAATCTCTGTTTTCTCTGCGTCTCTCTTCTTTTTCTCTCACTTTTCCAGAATCAAGATAGGCTCCGCCCACTTGTCGTACCCCATAAGCTCCGCCCCCTTTTCTCCATATTCCTCTCATATAAGAAGAGCCATTTTTAGTGGATTTTCAGATTTGCTGAATGTTTTATTTCAATTTTCTAATAAATTTCTAAAAAAATTATTTCAACATTTCAGGTAAAAAATTCTTCCAAGTGCTCTGTGCTCATTGTGGTGCTCATGATTATGGGCTTGTTTCTGAGCCAGTCCGATGCGATTCCACGTCCTGGACCAGTCATTGGTGAGTTTCAAAAAACAACTTTTTTGCATACTTGTAACGGGCCGGGCCGGGCCGGGCCGGGCCTTCAAAAAGGCCCGGCCCGGACAGAAGGTCCGGCCCGGACAGGCGCCAGCTTCGAAATTAAGGGAAAATAGAATGTTGTGATTCTGAAGTTTTTCGAGATTTCAGAGTTTCTTGGAATTTCAAGAATTTCAGGCATTTTTAAGGTTCTAAATATTCGAATAGTCTAAAATTTTTGATTTTCAAAAATTGGAAATTCTGAATTTTCAGATTTTTTAGGTTTTGGCTTTTTTCCCCAATTTCAGACCTTTTTAGAATTTCTGAATTGGTTTTTTTTTGTAATTTTGAGACTATCAAATTCTAAATGCTTTGAAATTTATGATACCGTAAAACCCTGTATTAGAAGGGCCCCTCTAATAGAAGGGTTGGCCCTTCTAATACAGGTTTTACGGTATTTTGAATTCTCAGAAATTTCGAAAATTTTGAATTTTTAAGGGAATTTTTGGATTTCCGAAAAATCCACAAATAAACTCTGAAAACTGAAATTTTCAGATTTTCCAATTTCGAAAAAAAATTCCAAAACTTTGAAAAAAACCAGGAAATTCCAAATTTCAGAATTTCTGAAAATCAGAAAATCTGAAAATCTGATGTCGTGAGAAATGTCTAGAAAAAAAAATCACATGAACTTTTTTTCAGATTTTCAGAATTCTGAAAATCTCAAAAAAAAACTTCCCACGACATCGAAAAGCCCACGTTTTTGAGAACTTTCTAGAAGAATCTAGCTTTTCGAAAAGTCAGAATCTTTTAGAAAATTCTGGAAATTTGAAGTTTTCAGAATTTTAAAAATTTAGAACTTTAAAATTTTAGAATTTTAGAATTTTAGGATTTTAAAATTTTTTTCAAAAATTTCAAATCTTAAGGAATTTTATGTTTTCCATGCCGTTTCCGAATGTCTTTCAACTGTCGTAGACTGTGTGAGTATGGATTACTGTAGATGCCTTCTTTTTTGGCTTAAAAATTCTCAAAATCCACCAAAAAACTCGCTACCAACTAGCTTTTCCCCTGTTCCACCCCCCTCTAGTCTGACCATCTGTGTGTCTGAAACTCCGGATGTCGCAATTTTCCAGGTGTCAACACCGCGTGCACTTCTGAATCCATCCAAGCCTTCTGCAAACCAGGAAACCTCTACTGCGTCCGTTCGGCGTGCAGCCAATGCATCCTTCGCGACCCGTTCAACCCATTTGGTAGGTTTAAAAGCGCATAACTGAAAAACTACATTAGTTAGAGACAAGTTACAAACTTTAAAAATGTAGGAAATTTTATTTTACACATTTCCATAGTTTATAAAATTTTGATAACTATCATGGTTTTCCTGATATGCGCCTTTAAAGATCCGCATGCGATGTAGCCATCCTGTGTCTCTTTAAAGACTCATATCTCGAGAACCCTTACAGATATCTAAAAACTACAAACTACAAAAATGTTTAAAATTAAATTTCACACATTTTTGTAATTTGTAATTTATGTCTAGCTTTTTTGGTTTCTGAGATAAAGCGAAAACAAAATCAGAGATCGTAAGAAAATCACAAAATAACTTCTTTTGGGTCGCTGGTCTCCGGAAAAGTTCAGCAACCGGAAATTGACGGAAATTGACTATTTTGCTGTCATATAGCGTTTTTGACGTTAAAAAAATCTAGAAAAACGTTGAAAATTGCGTTAATAGAGACGCAGAGAAATCAGACACCATTGTTTCTCTGTGTTTCTCCGCCTTCTTTTCCCGCCGTGTTAGGGGTCACTTTAAAGGCACATATCTCTAAAACTAGCAAAGCTAGGGACAAACTACCAACTACAAAATTGTAGACAATTCAATTTTACACATTTTCACAGTTGACAGTTCTTTGATACCTAATTTGGTTCAAGAGATAGAGCCCTTCAAAGGTAAAAAACGCGCTCGCTTCTCCTCTTTAAAGACGCATATCTCTTGAACCCTTATAAATATTCAAAAACTACAAACTACAAAAATGTAAAAATTTAAATTTCGAACATGTTGTAGTTTGTAGTTTGTACTTAGCTTTTCTGGTTTTTGAGATATAGCGTTTTTTCAAAAATTTAAAAACTAGAAAAATAAAATTAGAGACCAATCGGAAGTTGTGTGAAATTATTCTCCGGAGATGTGGGAGTGATAAATGATAAACAAATTTTTTAGTTTAAAAAATTGCTGATGTTTCAAAAATCATAAAAATCATAAACATTCGCTTTGAGATAAAAAAAACGTTTTTTTTTTTGAATTCTGAATTTGACTTTAACTCTTTTAATCTGACTCTGACCTGTTTGAAAAAATGATTTTCAAATTTCTCGCGTTTTCAGCTTTGAAATGAGCCCAAACACGACTAGGGCTCCGCCCCCTTTGAGTTTTGAGGTTAGAGACGCAGTGGGTCTCGCTTCTCTGGCGCTCTAGCCTCAAACGTGGGCGGAGCCTAGTCGTGTGGGGGCTCTTTTCGAAGCTCTAAACGTCAGAAACTCGAGTAAAATGTACAAAAATGCAATATTCAAATAGTCTTGACACAAATTTTGAAAAATGTATTTTTTTTCACAAAATTAAAAAAAATATATAATTTTTCAAACCCTCATAACTTTGCTAGTCTTCAACCGATTTTGATAATTTTAGGCTCAAATTTTCTGAAATTTTCGCAAGATTCTTTTTCAGTTAAGTTTCAATTTGACGAATATCAATTTCAGCTTCATTCTGCGCTCGTCTCACCGAATGCGTGTGCTCCATCTCCAACAACCCGCTCTGCGAGCAGAAAGTCGAGGAAACTTGCTATTAAATTTTTTCGAAAAAAAAATCAATAATTAAGACTGTCTGAAAATGATATCGATAAGATTTGTGTGGCTTTTCTTCTTCTTCACCCTTTGAAAACAAGCTTTGTAAAATGGACGTAACTCTCTTAATATTAGTTCAAATTTGATGAAACTTGTTCAGTTGAGTTTGGCTAGTTGAGAGCTTCAAAATGAGTATAAACATGGCAAGTTTTGAAAAATTTTGAAATTTTCGAATTTTTGGGTCCCACCACGAAAAGTTGAAAATTTCAATTTTGAGCGAAATTATCCGTATTCGTGCTGATTTTGAAGCTTGAAAACAGAGGAATCGGAATTTTCAGATTTTTTCAAGATTGATTAAAAATGGAGCAAAATATGGTCAAAACTAGTTTTGACTGTCTGAAACATTTTCAGCTTCTTTCGACCATATCTCTGTTCGATTTTGTCCAAGTTTACAAATTATGACAAAATCAAATTTGACTTGATTTGCGCTTCAAAACGAGTATAAACATGCCAAGTTTTGAAAAAATTCGAAATTTTCGAAAATGTTTGGGTCCCACCACGAAAACTCGAAAATTCAAAATTGACCAAATCTAGTCATATTTATACTTGTTTTGAACCTCTAAACGTGTAAAATTTGAATTTTGAAATTTTGTCAAGCTAAGCCAAAAATTGACCGAGATACGGTATTTTGAACTCGAATTGCAAATCTAAAACTTCAAAAACTTAAAACTACCGTATATTGGTAAGTTTTAGTTGAAATTTGCCGAAAGTGCAATTTTTGAGTTGAGTTCAAGAAGAGCTTCAAAATGAGCCTAAACACGCGTAGATTTGCTCGAATTTGAAATTTTCGAAAAATTTCCGGTCCCACCGCGAAAGCTCAAATTTTCAAATTAGACCGAATCTAGTCATGTTTAGACTCCTTTTGAAGCTCTTAACAAGAAAAATTTAGAGAAAATATTTTTGTCGAGTTCTGGAAAGAATTGACCGGGGTACGGTAGTATAACCTGAAATTGACTAAAATTCAGAAAATTCCCATAAAAATACTGTTTTTTCTAAATTTTTTTGGAATTTTTTGAAAAGTTTCAAATTACGGCGTATAGAGTAGGCGTATAGTCATTCCGAAGAATTCCAAATTTAGAAATTCCGAAATTTTCAAAAAAAAATTTTTTTTTCAAAAATCTTCAAAATTCAAACTACACATTGTCCCGATTTTTTCATTCATTTTCTAGAATTTTCTCACGATGTCGTCGTCACAAAAAAACTCTGATGACGTCAAAAATTTTGTCTGAATGAAACATTTTTTAGTCTAATATCCATTATTTTTCCATTTTGTAACATCAATTTATTCAGTTATATAGATGTATACAAAATGATTTTGGATCTCCAGACTAGGCTCCGCCCCCTTTTTTGTCCCAAAGAATGGGACCAATTCGTGCAAAAAGAGCCCAAAAAGAGGAGGAAATTACGTAGTTAGGAGGTTTCAAATGACACAAATCCACTTGTAAAATTAGAAGAAGAAGAAGAAGAAGAAGAAGAAGACACTTTGAAAAAGAAGAAGAAGAAGGAAGGATATATATATATTCTAGAAGATTCCGAAAAGATTTCCTTACTAATTTCGGAGAGTGTCTTCTGACCCACCTCCCACCCTCAGGCTTCCATTTAGAAGCTTCCAGAAACTTCTAAAAATGGCCGGACCTTCTAGACGATTCTGTGAGTTTTTCATCATTTTTCTGGAAATTTTGAGTTGAAAAAGAGCTGAAAATCGGCTGAAAATTGACCATTTTAGGCTTAGATATGCCTTTTTGGCACCAGTTTCTTCTATCGCCTACGAAAGATATTCAAAAATTTACAACTTTTTTGAAGTTTTGTACCCATACTAAACAGAAATAGAGTTTTAATTTTGTAGTTGACAATTTATTGATAGCTACTGTAGCTTTTGAGTTATGCGCCTTAGAAGATGGCGCGCTTCACGCTCCCAGAGCGTCGGCGGCGGCGAGTAGGGGCGCCAACTTCAAAGGTGCATATCTCAAAAACTACGGTAGCTAGAAAAAAGACGACGACAGCAAAAATGATTTAAATCAAATTTCCTATACAACTGTAATTTTAAGTTTTTTATAACTACCGTAGTTTTAGAGATATGCGGCTTTAAATTTGGCGTCCTCCTTTCTAGCACAAGGGACATATCTCAAAAAGTACGGTAGCTAGAAAAGAGTCGTTTACTACAAAAGTGACAACCATAAGGCTTTATTTTTGTAGTCAACAAATTTTTATTAGCTACCTTAGTTTTTGAGTGATGCGCCTTTAAAGATGCTCTCTGGCGGTGGCGGAGAGGGGAGGCCAACTTTAAAGGCTCATAACTCAAAAAGTAGGCAAGATAGGTACAAACTACAAACTACAGAAACGTGTAGAATTTAATTTCCTAATTTTTTATAGTTTGTATTTTATTTTTAGCTACCGTAGTATTAGAGATATGCGCCTTTAAAGGTGGCGCGCACCTAGACTCGACGGCGGTCTCTGCACCTAGGGATGCCTATCTTTAAAGGCGCATATCTCCAAAACTACTGTAGCTAGAAAAAGGTTGCAAACTACAAAAATGTGTGAAATGTAATTTTCCACATTTTTGTAGTCAACAATTTTCGATAACTATCGTAGTTTTTGTGTTATATGCCTTTAAAGATGCCCTCCTTTCTTGAGCCGGCCGAAAAGGTGTACATTTTTTGAAGGCGCATATCTCAAACACTACGAAAGCTAGAAAAAATTGTCTATTACAAAAATAAAGCTCTATTTTTGTTTTACATTATAGGAAATTTTCAGACAAATAGGAAAATTTCAAGATTTTCAGATTTCGAATTTTTCGCTGGAACCCCTAAAATTTCTTAAAATCGCTCTAACTTTTTTCATTTTTGTGATATTTGGAATCTGAAAAAAGCATTTCATAGAAGAGAATGTCAGTTACATTTCGACGTTCAATATTCCAAAAATTACAGTAATCTCGCTGCTAATCTTCGCCCTTCTCATCGCCACCGCCCTGTGTCGACCTGATCATCACTCCAGGAATTGTAAGGTAACACATATTCAAATTTCCCGCCATTTTCTTAAAAATAGAGTTTTCAGGCCTACCGTAGACCGGCTCTAAACGAAGTGCTCACTCGAATATGCCTCCTTTGTCATGAAATGTTTTCGGTGGACCAGCCAAATCTTGCCGCCGAGTGCAGTTCGAATTGTTTTCGAAATCCCGCGTTCAACAAGTGTCTCAACTTTTTTCGACCCAAATTCTCGCCTTTTATGATGAACTAACCTATAAAAAATAAATTATTTTCCCAGTTTTTCTTCTTTTTTTCTTTTTTTAAATGCAATTTTTACGAAAAATAGCTTAAAATCCATCATTCTTCACTGATTTTGATGATCTAAAAAAGTAAAATACTTTAAATTTTATTTCCTCCTCAATCACCATATCAAAATTTGCTAAAAATTTCAGATTCCCTTGAATTTCAGCATTTTGAGTCATTTACTACGATCCGCAATCAGCATGCGCATCGTCCGCAAGCACCCGATCCGCCGACACATTGCGTACTTCACTTAATTTTTTGGCACCGCACACCTCGATTTTTGGTTGTTTTCAACGGATTTTAGCCCAGTTTTTTGGAATATTTTTGTAAAAAAATATTTAAATGAAGATATAAAAATTTTCAGCCATGCTATCGGTTTTGGGTAGGTCCTTATCGTCGAGACAGCCGGTTCTAGTGGTCGCCAGCCAAAACTATAGCAGTATTTCGGTTCTAACCCCGGAAAACGCGCATCCAGAGCCACGAGTGAGCTCACAGGGGGCTCAATTTAGAAAGGGAAATGGTGGAAGGTAGGGAATATCTGGAAATTCGGAAAAAATTGAAAAAATCTGAAAAAAAACCTAAATTTTGAAAAAAATTCGAAAAAAGGGTTTTCCTATGGGTTTGGGGTGTTTTTAAACGGTTTTCTGGGTCTAAAAAGCTAGAAAAATGCCTCTAAAACCTCTAAAATCAACTATTTCAGCCGAAAATTTGAGGTTTACGTCAAAAAATTTTTTTTTCAAAAAATGACCGGATTTTCACTCAGAATAGTCAGAAATTGCTGAAAAATGGGTTAAAATCGCTTCAAATGCCCCGAAATGCATTTTTTCTTCCAGAGCCTCCTTCTCCGGAAACGTGGTTACCGTATTCGGCGCTTCGGGCTTCCTCGGCCTCCCCGTCGTCAATAAATTCGCGAAAAACGGATCGCAAATCATTATTCCATATCGACAGGATCCGTATTATATGAGAGAGCACAAAGTGTTGGGAGAACTCGGACAGGTCCTCTATTTTCCGTTTGAGCTCAAGGATGAGGAGAGCATTCGCAAGGTGAGCTGAAAATTGCAATATTAGAGCATTTTGAGCCGAAAAATTGCTTTAAAAGCCAAAAATAGCTCCAAAAATCGCTAAAACTGCTCTAAAAGCTGAAAATCGCACTAAAAATTGTATTTTTGGACCCCAAAACCGGTTTTTAGTCGATTTTTAGCTCTTAAAAATGGGATTTTCGAACTCAAAAATCGCAAAATTTTGGTCATATTCAACCCAAAAATGCTTTTGAAGCCAGCAATTAACTGTAAAAATAAGAAAAGATAGAATAAGATAGAATCTAGGTTTTTGATATCAAAATCGGCAATTTTGGCGATTTTTAGCTCAAATTACAGTGAAAATGTGATTTTCAGGCAGTTTTGGAGCTCAAACTTGATTTCAACGCCAAAAATGACTCTGAAAATCGCAACTTTCGGTCAGAAATCGCTCAAAAACGCCCAATTTCTAACTGAAAATCAGATTTTCAGCATTTTTTGGAACCTGAAATCGCTGGAAATGATAGATTTTTGACTCCAAAAGTTCCTAAAAAACCAAAAATTGCTTTAAAAATGGGGCTTTTAGTCATTTTCAGAGCTTAAAATCGCCGAAATCGAGTTCCGACTGAAAAAAATCGTTCTCAAAGCTCAAATTTACCATTTTTCAGGTCGTCAAGTACTCGAACGTCGTTGTCAACTTGATTGGAACACGTGTCCCAACTGGGTGAATAAAATATCGATTTTCATTGGAAAATTGGCTGGAAATGGTCAAATTTGTCATGAAATTCGGCTGAAAATCGCTTAAAAACCGATTTTTTAAGCTAAAAATTGACCGGAAATTGCTCATTTTTTGCCAAAATTTGAGTCGAAATTCTCAAAATTCCTAGAAATTCGAAAAACTAACTAAAAATCCGAACTCTGCTCACCAAGAGCTTCAAAATGAGCCCACACACGCCTAGGCTCCGCCCACTAGAGCGCCAGAGAAGCGAGACACACTGCGTCTCTGACCTCAAAACTCAAAGTGGGCGGAGCCTAGTCGTGTTTGGGCTCGTTTCAAAGCTCGCGATAAGGCAAATTCAAAAAACTGGATTTTCGGAAATTTTGGCTGAAATAAACCGAGATACGGTAGTTTGAAATTTTTTGAAAAAAATTGGAAAAAACATTTTTTTCTTTTGGCTCTAAATCTTCAAAATTCGATTTTTCGACACCATTTTTATAAAAGTTCTGGAAAATTGCAAATTCTCAAATTTTTTGGTCCAATTCTCTGTATTTCGGACTTTTTCCGTCTAAAAAAAACTGATTTTTGGCTCTAAACTCCTCTATAATTTCTTCCAGAAACTACAACTACTACGATGTCCACGACACTGGAGCCCGCCGCCTCGCAAAAATCTGCAAAGAGATGGGCGTCGAGAAGTTCGTCCATTTATCGGCTCTCGGAGCCACCGTGGACCCGCCAAAAGGACATTTCGTCGCGAAATCCGAATTCCTGCGTTCAAAGGCTCTGGGAGAGATTGCGGTGCGCGAGGAGTTCCCCGAGGCGACAATCATTCGTCCATCGGTGATTTATGGTGAACTCGATGGTTTCATTCAGTACTATGTGTCGAGATGGCGAAAAACCCCACTGGATCATGTTTATTTGTACAAGAAGGGAGAGCAGACGTATAAGATGCCGATTTGGGTGAGGAGAAGCGCTGGAAATGGGCTGGAATTAGTCAAGAATGGCTTGAAATAGACCAAAAACTGAGATTTTTGGCTAAAAATGGTCCCTAGAGACCTAAAAATTGGTCAAAAACGATCAAAAAATGGCTTGGAATAGACCAAAAATTCAAGATTTTTAGCGAAAAATCCATTGAAAATTTGCTTAAAATAGGCCGAAAACCGGCTAAAACTGATCCCTAGAGATCTGAAAATTGGCTGAATTGAATTTTTCGGCATTTTTTATCTTGAAAATTGTAATTTCTTCATAAAAATTCTGAAAACTGATTGAAAACAATCAAAAAACCTGATTTTTCGCCTTCGCAAGGTCCCAAATTCTTGGAAATTGACTGAAATCGTTAATAAATTCGACTGAAAAATACGCCTAAAAATTCTCTTAAATTGAGAAAATCGGTCAAAAATGATGGCTTAAAATGAACCGAAAATCAAGATTTTCGGCTTAAAATGATCCATAGGGCCCTGAAAATTGACTGAAATCGGTCAAAAACGGCTTGAAATTGGCGAAATCGAAAAATCGAAATTTTTCAGTATTTTTCCCTAGAAAATATCATTTTTGATCTGAAAAAAGAGATTTTTCCAGAAAAAAAAACGTGAAACTTGCAAAAAATTCAGCCTTGGCACAACGCCAACTTCAAAATGGGCCCCAACACGACTAGGCTCCGCCCACTTTTGGGGTTAGAGCGCCAGAGAAGCGAGACACACTGCGTCTCTCACTCTCAAAGTGGGCGGAGCCTAGTCGTGTTTGGGGGCTCATTTCGAAGCTCGCGATAAGGCAAATTCAAAAAACTGGGTTTTGTTAGAATGTTCAGACAGAACACGTTTTAAGCTGAGCAATCTCTTTTTCCGTCAGGTTGGCGACGTTGCTCAAGGAATCGACCGTGTCGTCAACGATCCCACGGCCAAGGGACACACTTATGAATTCGTCGGACCACACTGCTATCAACTGTCTGAGCTCATCGATTTCATGTACAAAAAGGCGCATTGTCTGCCAGATTTTGGATTTAGGTGGGGAAAAAAGACGAATTTTGGGGGGCCGTTTTGACCCTAAATATTGCTCAAAATAGCAAATTTGAACTCGTTTTTACCCCGAAAATAGGTCTTCCGGGTGATTTTGACCCCAAAAACATCATTTTCAGACGATTTTGACCTCAAAAAACCAGAATATTAGGTCATTTTGACTCCAAAAAGTCGTTTTTATTCGCTAATATGAAAATTTCGATCCAAAAATGGTGGCAAATTCTGAGCTATTTCACACCTTTCTGACGCCAAAATGATGAAATTTCAAGCTGAAAATCGCGAAATTTGAGCTGAAAACGTTATTGTTAGAGAATTTAGGTGCCAAAAATCTGAGAATTTTGCTCAAAATGACACATTCTGGTCTATTTTATGGTCGAAAATCGCTGAAAAATGAGCAACTTTGACATTTAAAGAGGCCAAAATGACTTCGACACTAAAAACCAGAATTTTTGGCTTATTTTAAGCTGAAAATGACGAATTTTGGCATAAAAGTTTGCATTTTTGACGAAAAAAGAGCCTAAAAACAACGGATTTTCAGATTTTTAGCATTTTCAGCTCCAATAATGCTCCAATTTCATTTTTTTTTTCCAGATACAAGCGTCACGGCCTCCCGGACCCATACTTTATGGCGCTGACGTTGGCAACTGAGTTGTACGGAAAAGTGTTCAAGTGCAAAGTTCCATTGAACAGAGAATGGATGGAGTACATTGTGAGTGTCGGAAATGAACTGAAAATTGGCTAAAAATTCGAAAAAATAGCAAATTTTTGGCTTGAAATACGCAAAAATGGACCAACATGAGCTGAAAATTCAGCGAAATGCCTGAAAATTGGCTATAATAGACCTAAAATTTGATCTGAAACTCTTGACTTCGCATTTCTCTGAACAGTAGAAAAGTGATCGAAAATGACTGAAAAATGACCAAAGCATACCCAAAATAGGCTTAACAATGGCCAGAAATGAACCAGAAATAGCTTTAAGGGGCCAAAAAGAGCCTAAAAATAAGCTAAAGATGTCAAAATGGATCTATGAATGGCCCAAATGGATCAAAACAGGCGGCGAAGTTGAGAGAGCCACATTTTTGGCGCTAAAATTCGTTTAAAAATGGCCTAAAATCGTTGAAATGGGTCTAAAAATGGCTGAAAATGACCAAAAAATGGCTAAACGGACAAAAATTCGGTAAAAAAGTCACTGAAAGGTCCAAAATTCCAACAAAAAAAAAAGCTGAAACTAAGCGGAAATTTGATCTTTTTGCACATTTTAAGACTCAAAAAGTCACTTTTTGGGGGGGCTAAAATAAACCAAAAAATGACAACAAAAAAGGCGTTGTTTCGCATGATTGCTCAGCTTAAAATTTGCAGGAAGTCCAAAACGATGTGCTGACTGGCGAACGAACCCTGGCCGACCTCGGCGTCCGCCGATTGACAGAATTCGAGTTGGCCGGCGGTCAACAGGCATTCTATCGATCGTTCAATCGATATTTCGAAGAGCAATACGGAGAACTTCCAGCGCCACCACTTCCACTCAGGTTGGTACGGGGGTTTTTTGGGGGAAAATAGCTGAAAATTTTGGAAAATTCTGGAAAAATATTGGCTGAGAATAGTGGAAAAATGGCTGAAAATTGAGGAAAAAACTGACTGAGGATCCTCTAAAATTCTGGAAAAAAGACTGAAAACTCTAGGAAAATTGTCTGAAAATGCCTAAATTTTAGCTGGTAATTGTGGAAAAATTGACTGAAAATAACTGAAAATTGGTTGAAAATCCTGGAAGAAAGTTGGCTGAATTTCCTAGAAAAATCGGCGAAAAATCTAGAGAATTTGGCTGAAAATGACTGAAAGTTAGCTGAAAATTCTGCAAAATTGGTCAAAAACGACTAAAAATTGCCTGAAAATACCTTTAAATGCATGAAAATGGCTGAAAATTTTGGAATATTGGCTGAAAATGACCAAAAGTTAGCTGAAAATGCCTAAAATTGGCTGAAAATGGCTTGAAATTGCATAAAATTCCGAAAAAATTGACTGAAAATAGCAAAATTAAGGTGAAATTTCCGGAAAATTGGCTGAAAATGGCTAAAAATTGGTTCTGAACATTCTGAAAAATAAGCTGAGAATAGCTTTAAATTAGCTGAAAATTCTGAAGAAAAATGACTGAAAATTGGCTGAAAATAGACTGAAAAATGTGAAAAATTCTAAAAAATTGGCTGAATTTTCTAGAAGAATCGGCGCGAAAAATCTAGAGAATTTGGCTGAAAATGACTGAAAGTTAGCTGAAAATTCTGGAAAATTGACTGAAAATGGCTTTAAATTAGGTGAAAATTCTGAAAAAAAGTGGCTGAAAATTGGCTGAAAATTCTAGAAAAAATGACTGAAAAATTCTAAAAAATTGGCTGAAAATCGAATGAAAAATGTGAAAAATTTTAAGGAATTGGCTAAACTCGGCTGAAAATGGATGCCAAAAAAAAGCCAAAAAATTGGCTGAAAATTAGCTGAAAATCGTTGAAAATTGGCTGGAAATATGCCTGAAAATGCTAAAAAATTGACTGAAAATGCCTTTAAATATGCTAAAATCATCTAGAAATTTAGGTGAAAATAATGTCTAAAATTGACTGAAAATCCTTTGAAATTTAGTTTAAAATGGCTGAAAATTCAGAAAATTTAGAAAAAAAATAGCTGAAAATCGAGAAAATAGACTCTAAAGGGGGGGGGGGGCTAATTAAGTATTGCTCAGCTTCAATCATATTACTAGAAATCTTGGAAATCTTGGAAAATTCTGGAAAAATAGGCTGAAAATACCTGAAAAATCGGCTGAAAGTGCCAGAAGATTGGCTGAAAATTGTCGGAAGAACACGATTTTTAGCCAATTTTTAGTTTTTTGTTTTTCTGTAAAAATTCAATTTCAGCCTTAGTTTTTTGATTGCGCAGCTTTGAAATATTGCTCATCTCTTCGAAATGCTCCATTTTCCAGATCACCACCACTCACCAAGAAGACGGTTGGAAGCGGAATCAAATCGGGAACGAGCAAAACTGTGGCTTTTAACTAAATTCTCCACCCTCCTCTTTTTTCCTTTTAAATTCAATTTTTCGATTTTTTGCTGTATTTCCAATCCGCCCTCCCCTCTTCCTCTTCGTTTCGTTTGTTTTGGATTCTTTATGTGTAGTTTAAATAGAGCGATTTCAATTTTTTTTTCCATTTTTCAGAGCATTTTAGGTCAATTGTGTCCCGAAAAATCGTTAAAAATAGTCGGAAAAAAAAGACTGAAAATGGCTGAAAATCTCCTCAAGAAATCAAGAAAAACTGAATTTAAAAAAAAAAATTGGCTGAAAATTCCCAAAAAAATGAAATTTAATGTTGTGGGAAAACGTGTAGGTTGTAGTCTGAGCAATTTGAAAACTAAAAATTTTGAAATTGTTTTGTTTTCAGCTTCAAAATGAGCCACCACACGACTAGGCTCCGCCCACTTTGAGGGGCTAGAGCGCCAGAGAAGCGAGACACACTGCGTCTCTCACTCTCAAAACTCAAGATGGGCGGAGCCTAGTTGTGTGGGGCTCATTTTGAAGCTCTTGACAAGCTGAGTTGAAGAAATTAAAGATTCACTGCTTTTTTCTAAAATTGACCGAGATACGGTAGTTTGAAATTTTTGAAAAAAATTATTTTTCAAAAAAAAAATTTTTATTCAAAATTTTTTGAATTTCCCGCCAAGCCATCTATCTCACCTGCCCAAAAATCGGCTTATCATTGACGCGTGTCATTCCGGATAGCGAATGTTCCTTTAAAAAATAACCCATCGAATTCGACTCGATCGATGCATGAATGCCAGCGATCCCCTTTCCCTGCTGCAACATTTCTTTGTAGTTTGTAGTCTTATCATGTTGAAAATGGAATTTTCGAATTTTTTAAGTTATTAGCTTCAAAATGAGCCCTCACACGACTAGGCTCCGCCCACTTTGAGTTTTGAGGTTAGAGACGCAGTGTGTCTCGCTTCTCTGGCGCTCTATCCTCCAACGTGGGCGGAGCCTAGGCGTGTTTAGGCTCATTTTGAAGCTCGCTATGAGCCGAGTTCGAATTTGTATATGATGCTCCAATTTTCCAAAAGAGTCTCAATTTTCAGGTCAAAATACCAATTATTTCGGATTTTAGTCCATTTCCAGCCATTTTTGACCGTTTTTTAGACATTTTTCAGGAAATTTCGAAACTAGTGACAAATTTGAATTTGTCTTGTCGCGAGCTTCGAAATGAGCCCCCACACGACTAGACTCCGCCCACTTTGAGAGTGAGAGACGCAGTGTGTCTCGCTTCTCTGCTACTCTAGCCTCCAAAGTGGGCGGAGCCTAGTCGTATTTCGTGCACGATGAATTGCTTGATTGGAAAAGTCCAGGTGTGGGTGATAATTGGATTTTTCTGGGTTTATTAGACATTTTGAGAAACAGGAGGTAAAATAGATTAAATTGGGAAATTTGCCCAATTTAATCTTGGAAAACGCAATTTGTTTCAATAAGGACTAATTTGTCGGAAATCTTGGTTTTCTTTGGAACCAATGGTTATAAGTTATAACCATGAAAAAACAAAAAAAAGCTGTAGAATTTCAAAAATGAAAACAACCTGAAATTTTTTTGGTAAAATTCAAAATTTCACAGTTCTGAACATAATCTGTGTATTTAGTTAACTTAACTGAACTTGGCACATCGGCAGCTTCAAAATGGGGACTAGGCTCCGCCCACTTTTGGGGTTAGAGCGCCAGAGAAGCGAGACACACTGAGTCTCTGACCTCAAAACTCAAAGTGGGCGGAGCCTAGTCGTGTGGGGGCTCATTTTGAAGCTCGCGACAAAACAAATTCAAATTTGTCACTAGTTTCGAAATTTCCTGAAAAATGTCTAAAAAACGGTCAAAAATGGCGTGAAATGAACTAAAATCCGAAATAATTAGTATTTTGACCTGAAAATTGAGACTCTTTCGGAAAATTGGAGCAACATCTACACATTTGAACTCGGCTCATAGCGAGCTTCAAAAAGAGCCCCCACACGACTAGGCTCCGCCCACTTTCAGTTTAGCGGTGAGAGACGCAGAGTGTGTCGCTTCTCTGGCGCTCTAACCCCGAAAGTGGGCGGAGCCTAGTCGTGTGGGGGCTCTTTTTGAAGCTCGCTATGAGCCGAGTTCAAATTTGTAGATGTTGCTCCAATTTCTCCAAAAGAGTCTCAATTTTCAGGTCAAAATACCAATTATTTCGGATTTTAGTCCATTTCACGCCATTTTTGACCGTTTTTTAGACATTTTTCAGGAAAATTGGAAAACTAGTGACAAATCTGAATTTGCCTTGTTGCGAGCTTCAAAATGAGCCCCCACACGAGCAGGCTCCGCCCACTTTGAGTTTTGAGGTTAGAGACGCAGTGTGTCTCGCTTCTCTGGCACTCTGACTTCAAAGTGGGCGGAGCCTAGTCGTGTTTAGGCTTATTTTAAATCTCGTGACAAGCTGAATAAGAAATTGTACTCAACTTTCACACATTTTCACTAGAAAACAAAAAAAATTGATAAACAATTTTTCCAACTCACCTTCTCATCCTTTTCCATCAGTTCCGCTTGCAGTTTGACAACTCTCTGTAGCAAATTATTTCCTATAGACCTTGGGTTACTGTAGAACGCTCGAGATTCTGTAGAAGACGCCGAGGACCGGAGACTTTCAGAATTTGGTCCAGATTTTGAGAATCTCGAATATTCTGACCGTTTTTTCATGGCAGCCGCAGAATCCGAAAGACTCAGTTGTGGATGGATTTTCTTCTGGAATTCAAAAAAAAATTAAAAAATTTGAAATTCCCGCCAAAATCGCTTACCCCGGTGATCATTGGCAGCATTGGAGCGTCTTTTTCTGGTCCATTGGGTACCGTAACCGGAAGCCCGGCCCCCTTTTTTGCGGAATTCGGCCTTGTACCGAACATCCATTCACTATCAAATACGAATGGAGGTGAGCCACCGACTTGAATCAAATCTCCACTATGGATTTGGACCTTAAAACATTCAACAATTTTTTTGAAAATTTGTTGTTTCAAAAAATTTGACGAGCTGAGTTGAAGAAATTAAAGATTCACTGTTTTTTTCTAAAATTGACCTAGATACGGTAGTTTGAAATTTTTTGAAAAAAATTATATTTCAAAAAAAAAATTTTTAATTCAAAATTTTTTGAATTTCCCGCCAAGCCATCTATCTCACCTGCCCAAAAATCGGCTTATCATTGACGCGTGTCATTCCGGATAGCGAATGTTCCTTTAAAAAATAACCCATCGAATTCGACTCGATCGATGCATGAATGCCAGCGATCCCCTTTCCCTGCAACATTTCTTTGTAGTTTGTAGTATTATCATGTCGAAAACGGAATTTTCGAATTTTTTAAGTCATTAGCTTCAAAATGAGCCCCCACATGACTAGACTCCGCCCACTTTGAGTTTTTAGGTTAGAGACGCAGTGTGTCTCGCTTCTCTGGCGCTCTATCCTCCAACGTGGGCGGAGCCTAGGCGTGTTTAGGCTCATTTTGAAGCTCCCAACGCGACAAACTCAAAAATTTAAATTTCAAAAAATTTTTGACCTAGATTACGGTAGTTATGACTTACCTTAAGCACCACATCACAATTCGAGGCACTTCCAATCGTGGTCCGTCGATTTTTCAAGACAATTGTGTCCAAATTTTTGGAATTGTATCTACGAAGCATTCTAGATGTCTTCTAGTAATTCTAGAGTCTTCTAGAAGTTTCTAGAACATTCTGGAAATTTGGAAATTTTGAAAAAAAAAGGTTTTTTTCATAAAAAAAAGTTGTATAGAAAACTTTTTAGGAGAAAAACGCCAAAATTTCCATTTTTGTGCTCCAAAAACGGAGCAGGAGCACTGAGAAAAAGAGCAAAAACGAGGAGAGAGGCGGTTGTCAGGGAAACCGAAAATTGGCGGGGAGAACAAGAAGTGAGTGATATTTACGGGCGGCTCGCGGAGCACAAATGGATTAGAAAGGGAGAGAAAAAGAGACTAATAGAATACTAATCACTAGTTTCCAAGTTTCTCACGAGAAATCGGAGAAACTACATTTTCGAAAAGGGGAAATTGAAAAAGTTTTCTGAAAAAAATTTTCAGACAAATTTTTTTTTTCTGAATGTTTTCAGAAAAAGATTCGAGAATATTCAAAAACTGATGGCAAATTATTCTTCGCCTTGACACTAGCTTCGAAATGAGCCCCCACACGACTAGGCTCC